TATAGCCAACCCTCCACAGCCTGGTCCCTTATCTTGACCTCTCTGTCATTATCTGGGACCAGGTATGTGCTTACTTATTATTACCTATGACTACGATACTCAATATATCTCTGTCATTATCTGGGACCAGCCTGCCGCCGTTCTGCTTAGTCGCTCCGCCTTGTTGCCTTGTCCAGTTGCTCCGCCTCGCCGTTCTGCTTAGTCGCTCCGCTTTTCCGCTCCGTTAGTCACTCCGCCTCTGCCGCTTCGTGACAGGAACTTTGTTGTACAAAATCTCATATGGTGTCTTCCATTTGTGACGACGCATAGGAGTGCGGTTATACACATGCACAGCGTGTGCAACAGAGAATTCCCACCAGGAATCAGGAATACAGGCTTGAAAGCGCTGTGGTTCACTTTTCTCAATAATAGTCCGGATAAACCTTTCGGCTCTTCCATTCTGCTGGTGGATATGAGGAGATGACCATTGTGCTTTGATACCTTCGTTCTTAAAGAACTCATCAAGTGCATTGGATCTAAATTCTCCGCCACCATCAGACATCCATTCCTTGACGTTAGTCTCGTATAGATTTTTGACTGTGGCAATGAATTGCTTTATCACCGGAAGAGCTCCGCTCTTCTTTTTTAAGTGGCAGTAGAACCCATGCGAAGTATAGTCATCTATGAAGAAGATCGTATACTTGTACTTGTGGTACGAAATGGTAGGCCATTCTTTGAGATCTGAGTGAATAATCTCGAAGGGACGTGATGCCCGACGATTAGTTGGCGGAAATGGACGTAAAGTCATCTTTCCCTTGGCACAACCTTCACATAGATCTTCCTCATGGGGAATGCTAAAGGTGGGAACACCTTCTGCATTTTTCCTCAGTTGAGTGAGTGCTTCGCGCGATGGATGACCCATGCGACGATGCATGGTAGTGTAGTCCACTGAGTGGATCACTAGGTTTACAGCCATAGGCTGTGGCGAATAATCTTTGAGAATGTAGATTGTATCGCTGTGGGTTCGTGGTTCAAATGACAGGAATAAACCGTCTTTGTCCCAGAAGTCAACTTTGTCTGCGTTGCCGCGAACAGTTTTGCCATCTTGTAGGAAGCGTCCTTGTGCTATAAGGCGATGACTCAACTCCTTCATATAGAATACTGGAGCGATTCGTGCCGAATGCATGCGACCTCTAACATCCTTGAAATTTATCAAGACAGTCCCAACGCCAGTAATGTAGGCAGTTGTGGTTGCAGTTGCTATGAGCACTTTTTCCTCAAGGTCTTCATACTCAATGAAGTCACTCAAGTCAAAGGTAGTGTGTTCAGAACAACCAGAGTCGTTCATCCACCATTTAGGTTGATTTCTCTGTTTACCCTTACACTTCTTGCACACAGAGTATGAAACGTCATGTACGCAAAAATGTTCATTGGATATATACTTGGCATCGATACGGTAATTATACAAATGGGACAAGAGATCAGGCTCAAAGGCCGACTTGCATGTCTTCGCCACTGCAACCGATGAAGGTGCATTAGTATATCCCATATGGTCAAGATCAGAGGAGGGTACTGACCCCATGGTGTCCATGAATCCAGTGATTGCCAAAATTTCACGATCCAAGTCGAAGTTCATCAACTCATCAGGGTCGAAAGAGGCAGTTCCTGGGACCTCAAAGTCCATAGGAGGAGATGGAGGAGGCGGCGTAGGAGCCTTACTGCCATTCTCAACATCATCCACAGGAGACATTGCACGAGTGCGCTTTGTCGGAGGATCAAGTTCATCATCACTGTCCAACTCCGAAATATGCCCAGCTGGCTCAAGGGTGCGAATGACTTCGGCAGTCGCACGGACGCCAATGTCACGGGCACGTTTGATGGCCATCCTTGTCTTCTTATGAAGATGAAGGGACGTAGCATTAGGAGGAGGGTTGTAAGGAGGATGGATGGAGTGCTTGCGCACATCTTGAACAGAAGGAGTAAGATCAGTACGTACCGGACCAAAGTCAACAGTACTGCCAATCGGACTGAAGTCCATAGAGTCTGCATCAGCTTGGGCAGCGTTTGCATTCTTCTTAGCCTTCTTGTTCTTTCCACTGCCACGCTTACGCTTCTTCTTGTTGTCATCGTTCCCATTCTGTCCCTTCTGCTGCTGGTTACTACCGTTACCATGCTGCTGTTGGGAGAACTTGGGATCGTTTCCCTTGCGATGAACGTTCGAAAACTTGTTCGCGTTCTGCGGTTGGGAGTTGCCAATGGTGTCTCCGCTGAAAGCATTCATAACAGCGATACGGACTTTAGCAAAGGTCAATTTCTTGAGCTCTGCAGTCTCAAGCTGAGACATGGTTTGGACAACAACAGAGTAACGTGATGGAAGCTTAGATAGAAGAATCAGAGCTTCGAGGTGGTCAGCAAGACCAATGTCAGCTTCCTCCATACGCGTGAAGTGCATGCCAATCTCCATCATAGAGGACAGTGGATTTTGCTTGTATGGAATTTTGACAGCCATGGCGGCAGCAAAGTCATTAAAGACTGCGCCTAGACTCTTGACATTGTAAGTCTTGGCTAGATATTTCCAAAGCTGCTTAGCTGTGTCACTCTCATCCTTAGAAAGGATGCGGATTGACGGAGAAAGGCGGAGGCGGATGTTGCCAATAGCCTTGGTGTCAATCTCCTTCCAGGCTTTGAAAGCAACCTCATAGTTCTTCCAGGCTTCAACACTGGCGGCGTTTGCCGCAACAAGTGGAGATGGTTCACTGGGTTTGTCAGTAGTAATTGCTGAATCAAGCCCTGTAGCCTGAAGGAAGGCTTCCATTTCAGAGGCCCAGGTGTCGTAGTTATCACCTTTGAGGGTGGTGGTAACAGCGGTGAAGAGTGCAGAAGACATTGCGATCTGGATAAAATCAACAGAAAATGTCAGCATGCAATTCATAAACGCTCAAGACAACAGATGGAAAAATGGCATGAATGTTATTGCCAGTAGTGGCAAGCTGCGACATATGTCTAGCAAGCTGTCATCTACAGTGTCAAGCACTCTTGGGCGATGTCATAATCAGCACTGTTAAGTGCGATATTGACTTCAGCACCAGAGGCAACGTGCCAGGTAAAGGTCTGTGTCAGAGACAGCAATCAAATAGATGCGTCAATGACAACAGTACACCAGAGAGCGCTGCGAGCTTAGAGCTCAGCAAAGCGTTCATCTGGGGCCCATAACCTGTTGAGCAGGCAAGGAGTGCGTAGTGGGACCACTCTCCAGTACCATACCTGGTAGTAGAGCTTAGTGTCTCAGTGAGGCAATAAAAGTAAGAGAGAAGCAAGCTCAATTCCAGTACAGGATATGGCCTGTTTATATACATAACTGTATGACAGTATTACATAAGGAAGTACTGAGGAATCCGCATATAGTAAATAACTAAATATGACTACATATGACATATTATAACACATGATCATAATAGTGGCATGTGAACAGCATAGCCGCGTTCAACAAACAATTGTCTACGCGATCCAATATATGCTTTTACTTCACGTCTAAGCAATCCAAGTGAGTCTTTGACCTCCCTCAACCAATACTAAATCTCCCCAAACATCTATCATTTTGGTGAGCCAACCTTCCCCAAGCCTCCTCAAGCTCCCTACTTGCTCCACAAGCTTCGGGACCTTGACCCCGGTAACGTCAAAGCTTCCCATCATGTCCACCTGTCAGCGACTGGTTCTAGTAACGGATGTCACCAGGTGTCACACTCGAGAAAACCTCAGGTGGCAGAGCGATGAAGGAAATAAGCAAAGTTCTGGGCTAAACCAGGTAGAATAGACAAGATCAAAGCTAAGGAAATACAGCAAGTAACTACAGCTTATATACAAGTAAGTAACCCTCCACCCTAGTAATGTCCAACACTCTGGGTCAGTGGTAAGCATGAGTAAAACATGTGTGAAACAGATAAAACCTGAGTAAAGCAATGTGTAAATAATAAATACTTGATCAACATACTGCAGCTCCTTGTTGATGGCATTACCGCCGCTCTGACTTTCTCCTTCTCTACTCTTGATCTCTGGGGACTAGCGGCGTAATGGCAGTGTTGTTAATAACTTCACTACTGTCCCACTCCACCTTCCACCCTTAGACACCATACGGCCTTGGCACGGCTTTCTGGTGTACATGATCTTAACAGATACTTCTGTAAACTACAGCCTCATAACCTTTCTCAAATTCAAGATTACCTCCTGAGCTCCATCATCATCCTCAGTTCCACTATTATCCCTCCTGTCTCATTACCAACCTTGTTACCACATTATGTTGTGTCCTAAGCTACCAGTACCATTGACACTTGACCTTTGGTAACAATATCTTGGTCTTGGGTCTAGTCCTCCATGTTGCCTGTCCCCTTAGGGACCTCCCCGCGGGTCTCTCATACAACTTTCACACTTGCATTAGGTCATTCTAGTCCTCAGTTGCAGTCCCTGTAGCTCCCTTTGAGCTCTAGCCTGCTCCTAGCATGTTACACTATAAACCTCCATCATATACTACTACTCCCAAGACCTATTCTGATCCAGGTCCTTACAGCAAGGTGGGGCTCTAGTCCTTATCATATCTGATCAACGTTATCTACTTGGGATGCGATGCTCCCGGGGGTATCCGAGAGCTTCGGAGAGGTGCGGGCGGTAAACTTTACCTTTGTTATTTTTGAATGTTGTAGCTCGATCCAATCCGTTTCACTCAACGTCTCACAGCCTTTCTCTCTTATCTCTATTATTCTGTTTACTATACCTCTACATCCTTTGCATCGCTGTTTTCCCGCTACGGTTTATTCCTAAGTGTGAGCTCATTGTACTTTGTGCTCTATCTCAAAGAGAATTAATGCATGTTTCTTTTGGCTTCCAGTATTCTTTCTAGCGGCTTTCGACGCCGTTCAATCACTAAACTACAATAAGAAGGATTTATACCCATCCAGCGCTCATTCCACCATAATATGAATGTGGAAGGAGATCATGTACGGAGATCATCAACCCCAACGACAAATATGCATCGCCTTTCTCCAAAGTTGACCCCAAGTTCTTCAGCAGTGGCGGCGACACAGGACGAACTTGCAGGAACTGGCAGTAATCGGAATCATGGTAACGGGTTACACAGACGCGGAGGCGGGGGAGCTGGAAGGAAGAATGGTGCTGTGACTAGTAATCATATAAACGGAGTGGTTGGTCGAAAGTCAGGCCGTAGCACATCACCAGTGGCTTCATCGACGTTGGTCTCGACATCCTCAACCTCAGCTTCAGCGCCTCCCCAAAAACCGCCACAATCCCCAACTCCAACGATACGAACTTCTGCAAGCACTATTCCAACGAAACGAAAGCATCCGAGCACGTTGGACGGAAGACCTGCTTTAGATGAAGACTCCGAATCAATCCGGTGTATTTGTGGCTTCAGTGTCGATGACGGCTGGTCGGTAGGCTGTGACGGCTGTGGACGTTGGGTTCATGGAGTTTGCTTTGGATTTGAGGCGAAGGACAAGGAGAACTTGCCCGATCATTGGTGGTGCTGGGAATGCGACCCAAGCTTGTTGGAGAGGATCGATAGGGAAAAGGCCAGGAGTCTGCAAATTGCTCGGTTAGCAACAGCTGCAGGGGATACTGCCGGAAATGGGAGACGAAGGTCAAGTCCAGGCGTCGACAGGAAGGCACGAAAAATCAACATAGCTACCGGCGCTGGTCCTTTTTTGTCGCCTTCTTCTGGTATATCGCCAAACTTTCCTTCAATTTTCCCAGATCATAGCTCTCATAAACGGAAGCGAACTTCAGTCGCAGCACCTTCTCCGCTTACTACTGGCTCTGCTTTCTCATTTCCTCCGACTACCGGTCAACCAAGTAGTGCGGATGACTTCATTGACATTGACGAGTCCTGGTCTCACTCATACATCGACATTTCACATGATATCATTCCTGAATCTGAAGCCCGGGAAAGACTACGCAAGCAGGCATCTGAGTGGCGAGGAATTTCTGCAATATCCCCTGTCCACGATCTTTCTTCAAAGCCAGGCTGGCCGTATTTTAATACGACCCCAGTACGGTATCCTCATCCAGTCTCGCCTTCAGTCTCATCAGTCTCCCTTCGGCCTATCAATTCCAGCCCAGGATCCGTACTTCCTCCATCCTATGCCGTTCACACAACGCACCCGATTCCTTCACAATCACTTCTCGCCCCATATCCTAGCGTAATTACCTCGTCATCCACCTACCTTCAAGATCCACTGAACGCTTACGCCACTCTCGGGATGCCAAAACCCCGAGTTCATCTAATCGGTCCTCCTCTCGATGTTAGTCTCGATGCTCGAGGGAAGGGTGGCAAGGCGCGATTCGTGCGAAGTGGATGTCAGCCCAATGCAGTTTTGAGGCCTGTCTTGTGTGATGGAAAACGAGGGGATCCCGATAACATATATCGTAGAACATCGTCAGGCGAACAGGCTGATTCATCATCTCATTCTGCACATCCACCACCACCACAAGACACGCCAGATTCGCTCTCGTTTGCCATCTTCGCTCTTCGAGACTTGAAGGTCGACGAGGAGATTGTACTTGGATGGGAGTGGGATGACGCTAATGTCGTGCATTTGCTACCTGCATTGCTTCAAGATAAGGATATTTTCCCGTGAGCCTCGTTCGCCCAATTGTCCTTGCTCGCATCCATTAATTTCGTATTATCCTATTCTCTTGTTTACCATCATGCCAATCAATCTTCAGACCTGCTCAATTAGCGGCGTACAAACTTCAAATGGCCAATATACTTCGTGCGCTAGGAGCGACGTTCACAAGTTGTGCCTGTGGTGACCGGGCTAGGGGATGCGTGATGAGGAAAATGAAGGAGTTCGTTGATGAGGTTGATGATTTGGACTCAGAGCACGAGCTGCAAAGGGAACGAGAACTTAGGAATGTTAACTCTGGAATTGAGCGGAGTGAAGGGTTTAAACATATTCGTGGCATGCAAGATGGTCAGGGGGGCGTGGACATCGAGATGATTAAACCTCTTTCAACATCGGAAACCTTCAGCGACCATCTTCCACCTTCACACCCAACTAACTCCCATTATCAGCCACCCTCCACGACGGGGTCATCCGCCCCTCCTTCGATGACTCCTCCCTTCGAATCGTCATTGTCATCAACTATTCCTGGAAACCTTCAGACCCATCCCCAGAACTCGTCTTTTTCTCGCAGCTCTCTTATGTACGCTCGTCCAGTGTCACCCTCACTTATCCAGCAGGAACATACAGAACAAGAAGTAGAGCTGCAAACTCAGTCGTCTGCTCACCCAACATTTCGGAGGCTTAACAAACATTCAACCGCGTCCAGCTCGCAAATACCGTCTTCTTCCCCTACGGTTGATTTAGGTCCTCTAATCGGCGTTCCGCGAGGTTTCCGAACGAGGGAGAAGGTAGAAGGAAGCGGGGGGCTTGGTGGCGTTGAAATGGACACAGATGACAGCGAAAACAGAGGAGATAGTGTTGAGGTGGGTCAGGATGTGCACACAAAGGCCTACGTTCGTCTTGGACCTCAAGATGAGAAGCAAAGGAATTTTCCGGCGCTGCACCCCAATCTGGATGCGGATTCCAGCATTTTTTCGGTGTACGCCGATCAAGCCACTCAGCCGCCCGCTCACAACTTTCCTCTTCATCCTTACCCCTACCCGATCCATGGCATAACTCCATCACCACCTTCTGTATATTCGTATGCTCCTTTCTACGGTACTCCGTATCCTTTCCCTCATACAACTTACCCTCTTTATATCCCTCATCCCCCTGGAAATCCACTACATAATCCAATACGGAATGGTGGTAAAGAGGACTTGTTTTGGGGCGATATTCCGTCAATTGCTCGAGTGGATAAAGGAAAGGGACGAGCACAGGATATCGATATCGTTGCTGCGGATGATGAGGACAATGATGAAATTTCTATGGGAAGGAATAATAAGGAAGGCATAGATGTCGTCGTTAACGAAGGTAAATTCGAGAATTCCTGTATTTCCGTGCATCTCCTAAGCGGTTTTTATCGTTTTTTTTGCTCTTTTGTTTTATGTTCTTTTGTTTCACAAGCTTACCCGTCCTTTTAGTGTCTACTAGACACCCTCAACGCCATCGACGGAAACAATCCGTTTATAAACGTCCCATATCGCCTCAAACACTTCACTTATCGGACCAGGTTGTAGAAGGATCTGAAATTCCTCCGAAAATGAAACGAAGGTGGCAACATGAAAGGAACGAATCTAAAAGTCCAATTGAGGGTAAAAGGACTCGAAGAGCTTATGAGGACATGCAAGTCGACGACGATGGTCGTACTCGAGGCGGGCAAGGTGCGTTGGATCACTTGCTCCCCTCAATCGCGTTGTATACTCAAAGATCCACTTTCACAGATCCCACGACAGGCGATCTATCTACCACAACGTCCCCTGCGATGCCAACAATTTCAACTACACACGCTCCTGTGGTCTGTTCACCTTCAACCACATCTCCTCTTTTGACGTTTGCAAACCTATCCCTGCTTTCACCCGTCCCCGTATCATCAAGTTCTACATCCTCTTTGTATCCCTTCCCAGATCGTCAACTCCCCAGTCACAAGTCTACCAACTGGTGGGACGTTTCTTCTCAGGGTTCTCGACATCAGCCGAAATCACCTATGCCGCGTGCACAGTTCAGATCCCAGTCACCTCCTCGTCATATCTCTCCTACTAGACGAGCAATCACTGACCCTCTTGCAGCTTTAGCAGCAGCTGCTGCTGCTGCTCGTCCGATATCTCCTCTTCCTAACAGGATATACTCGGACTCACGGTCGAAATCACGATCTCGGTCACCTCGTTCCGAAAATCGTCTTGGTACACACTCTACGTTAAATGAGCCCGTCCATGATAGGTATTCCTACGATATGACCACGCCATATCTTGGTTCACCTCGACGAAGTCGCCGGATGTCCACAAGTGATGGTGAACGTTCAGATCCAGATCATCATCATCCTTCTCATTTTCGTGGGCTTGAAGATTTCGACCACGACAACCAGGATGTGCGTCAATCCCGAGCGACATCGATGCTTGAGAGTCATGACGCAGTCTTGGGACCGGGAGGAATACGTGTTCTGAGCTCGCCTGAGCATGAATGGCTGCCCTTGAGGAAGGGAGATACTTCGACATCCACGGAATCATCGTATGGTGCTACTAATGTCCTTTCTGCAACGGACTTCATAGATCATTCACGATTAGAGAGAAGTGTAATCGCAATCGAGGATGAGTCGAGCGTGGACTCTAGGAGTTTAAAGGTGAAGGCAGAATTATTAAATGAGGACCATATACCATCCTCAACTCATTTGGTTCATCAAAATTGCGAACCAGTGGAAGTCGTCGATGTCGAACGACCCTGTTTCGTTGGTACTTCCGCAGAGCCAGAAACTGCTCTGCAAATCACACAACCTAGTCACCTCGTTCCTACCCTCCATCCTCCTCTTGCATCTCCCAATGAACTCCCAAGATCCGATTTGCTTTCACCAACGGATTCATACGTTGCGCCTCTATCTCCGCTCACACCACCGGCAACAAACCTGAAAGACATTCCGCCTTGGCCCGCCTCTCCGTCACCTCGCAATTCACCTTCCGTATCTGACCCAGTTCAGAAATCTTCACTCCCTCCAACGTCATTGGTACCGGATGCTATACCTTCGTCAGAACTCCAACCCGCCCAGTACAATGAAGCGCGACCTTCAACACTAGTGTCAGCTGACTCTCACGCACCCACAGATTCGCCGATGAGCGCACTGTCGTCGGTTGGGTCTTCGTCTCCAATCAATGCTAATTTCACATTACACGCCATTGAGAACAAAGAGAATGATTGCGATAATGAGTGCACGGCGCAGGTGACAAGGTCGTCCCCTTTTTCCTCTCCGCTTTCTTCTCCTATGGAGAAACTGATATCACTACCTGCGTATTCCGCACCTATTGAACAGTCGTCGAGCTCGTCAGGTCCTGTCCACGAACGCACAGAAGTGAACTGTCCGCCTCCGAATACAATCCACCACATTCCTTCTGAGTTGCCGGCTGCAAGTGTGGGTTCATTCCAGTCGCAACCTGATCCGCCATTACATGCATCTATTCATGACGTTCCGGCTCTTGAACATTCCAGTTCAATGTCCCCGCTTCACTCTCCCGGAAATGATTCTCCTACAACACCAAAGGAGGTAGATTCGGAGGAAGTGGAAACTATGGATGTGGATGTAATGAATGCGCACGACACAGATACTAATGATGAGCAGGAACGGAAGGCCCAATTAACGAGTAAGTTGTCTCAAATGCTAAGTCATAATTTGCTGAAGGCGAATACGGAATATAGTACCGTCTATCAACGCCAATCTTTCTCCTCCCTTAGTCTCTGTACGAGCTGAGATCAATTCTGAACATATCGATGGTAAGCCTTCCCCTATGCTATCACCCTTTGTCTTAAATTGTCCCTCGCAAGTCTCACACTGACACTTCCCTTTAGCATCCGAGCTCGCACCGCAAACCTCTCCTGCCCTTGCTACTTCACCTACACCGACGATCTTTGCTGCGTCCAAAGTTAAGAAGATGAGCTTGAAGGATTTTGCTATTCGGAAGAGACGTCAGAAGGAAGAAGAGGAGCGAGAGAAAAAAGAGAAGGAACAAGATAAGGGAAATGATGTGGAACAAAAGCCGGTGGATTGGGAGGATGCAATCATCATTGAGGATCGCCAAAAAGTGCAGGAATCTCATGTCGAAGTCGAAGCTCCGGTTGATTCGAACGGTGAGGATGATGCGGAAAAAACTCCGGAAACAGATAGCCTCTCAGCCCCACCCGCCAAATATGTGGTTCCCGCAGTTTTGGAATCAAATATTGAAGAACGCGGTCACAACGTAGCGAAATCTGACGTCGACGTCATAATGAAGGCCTCGGAGACACTGAACAAGCTCATAAACTCTTCGTCTATGTCAATGAAGTCAATGACCGTCGCACATGAGTATTCTGCCTCGCCACCACATTTTGACGTCTCAACTACTGCAAAACTTCCTCCGATGGTCTCATCGCTTTCGGCATCTCCCAATATCACCAGTCGTCCTCCAAGGGGTCTCATCACTGATCCAATAATCATCGCGGATTCTTCACTGTCTAGTTTGACTCGCGAAAAAACAATGGCCCCTCACTCTGTGCCAGAGGATGGGGAAATTGAGGACGGCGATAGTCGGACGATGTTCAGATTTTCTCCTTCACCCAAGCACCCTTCGTCCAATATCAAGTCTCCCTACCTCTTATCCACCTCTCAACCCAAATCCTACTCGCCTCCTCCGCGAGCATTCAAGATTCATGAAAATATCGTCACGAACGAACAGCGTTCACGGACACCACCAACTCAACCTCGTTCATTCACTGCACGCTCACCATCAGTTTCTTCTGTCCCTCACGGTAGTCCACCCATTCGAAGATTGGCAATTGCTCCTGTTGCCAATGGTTTATCTCCCAAAGTCGCTGCAAACGTTACTTCTACTACTTCTTCTGCTCCTTTTATACCTTCTGCTCCTCCCTCTGCCAATCCAGCTCTAGGTCGTACACCGCCCTCTGGTCCACGTGCGCTCCGTCAGTTACAGCAGCACCAACATAGCGGTGGAGGTGTAGGACATATGGGTCCACGGAATAGCAATGCATATATCCCTCGTGGTCTACCGTATGATCGGGACCGGTTCAGAGATCGCGGGGGTGACTTTGGGAGGGAAAGAGATCGGGATTTGCATTGGAATGCACCTGGCGTTCAAAGGCTGAGGACCAGTGAGAACCGGTATTAGAGTATTTGGAAGGGAACAGAAAGAGCTGGAAATATTTAAATATTTCTGAATCCGGTTCTAAATTTGCACTTGCTAGTAGTAATATTTTCGCTGTCACTGTCAATTTTCCTCATCGTCGAAACGACGAATATACTTAATTCGCGACTGCTCACTCAACTTCAGTATGTATTACTCGCTTCGAAACAAGCACCGCTAGGTTCGCCAAGACTTAGATATTGCATGATTATCATGATGGGCGTCGTCCCCGTATTCGTGAGTAATGTAATAGAGCCAAATTTTCCTCTGATAAAATTTCGTCCACTACAAAGGTTTTCACGGGTACTTCAGAGAGCGGATTCCGGCCACTGTCTACTTACATAAAGGATATTAGATGTACACGAATGGCCTAGGAATGACTGTACACAATCATCTTGCATGAATTATTCTAAATTTGACAACGACCTTATCGACGTTATCCACCCCGTAAGGAAGTCCTGCCACATCGAACCAGATGTGTATACGTTAGGTAGAACGGTACTTCAATCCTCATAGCATGCAAAGACCGAGTTGATCAGTGAATTTCCATTCAAATTTCCGCATTGATATATGTACATTCTGGAGTGTTGGAAAAGACGAACGTGAAGCAGCTGTGCGAGTGGTGTAACGGAAGTGTGTGTGTGTGCGTGTAAGATTCTAGAACCAACATATGACGGACGGCGCAGCGAATGATAGGGGAGGAACAGGAGCGATAACAAAGCAAAACAGACCAGAACATGAAAGAAAAGAGATGACACAACGAAGGAAATGGTATGGGAAGATGGGTGGATGAAATAGAATGGAATGGAAGCCTGGCATGGCAGACAAGATGGCGGCATGAAGGAAGACATGAATATGATGATGATGATGATGAAAGGGTGCCAGTCGGAGGGTCTTGGAAATATCAAGGGAAATATCACATATCACAACACAACACAACCACCACAACAACCGCCGGCGCCTTCGTCGTTTGGATCTTTGCCTGCGTATGTGCCTGGGGGACCTCCTCCTCCCCCTCCAGTCATCATTCGGCCAGTAGTTTGTTGTTCCTGAGTGTGTGTGCCGATGTGTAAGGAAAGGATGAATGACAAACTGAAAATGATCATCCACACCTTATTATACTTCCGAATCTCGCGGACGAGATCCTGGAAGGCCTGGTCGACGTTGATTCTGACCTTGGCGGAGGTCTCGACGAATTTGCAGCCGAAATGCCTTGCAAGGTCTCGTCCCTCTGCCGTGAAGTATGTGAGTTAATAGAATAGGAAAATAAACCATAGGAGAGAAGGAGCGCACCGTTCATCCCGACCTGTCTCTCATATTCCAGATCACACTTGTTGGCCACCACAACGACTGGGAATGTATCCTGATCCTTCACTCTCAGGATTTGTTGATGGAACGTGCTAATTTCCTCAAATGAATTGCGCGAGGTGATAGAATAGACAAGAAGGAAGCCTTCGCCGGTACGCATATACTGTTCGCGCATGGCACTAAGAGAGGTATTTAGGCGAGCGGTTCAGATATCTTGAATTGGAGGGTATCGAGCCACTAACCCATATTCTTCCTGACCGGCAGTATCGAGGACGTCGAGTAAAGCCACCTCGTCGTCGATTACGCATTGTTTCCGGTATGAATCTGTGCCACGCTCAGAATTATTGCTGAACGAATTCTCGAAACAAGAGCTGACCTTCGATAGTAGGATCATACTCGTCCACGAAGTGACTTTGAATAAACTGAATAGTCAAAGCAGACTTTCCAACACCTGTAACGCCGATAATTAACCCCTCGCGTCTCTATGGATGAGGTTCTGTACTTGCCACCACCACCGACAACGACAAGCTTATACTCCCTCAAGAACGTCGTCTATTAACGAGTATCAGAAACAATATCACCATGTAGAACCCCAATGTAAGATGTACGAACTCTACCAGCCATTTCTTTTGAATTTCCTATTTCTTTTCTAAAGACGCGGGAGGAGGAGGCGTTGATATACAAAAGTAGAGGAAGATTCAGAAACAGTCGGCTCCTCAAGTCTTTTGGAAAAGAAGAAGAAGAAGGACAACCAAAGAATAAAGGGGAAGATGGGAAAAGCGGGTAGAACCCTAAAAAGGCGTTGAATTCCGAGATCCAAAAGAGGGTTGGATTCACGTGTTCGGGCACGAGGTTTATTTTATTTTGCCAAGGACCAAGATCTTAATCAACGACGAGCACGGCAAAATGGTTTTATACAGGTTTTATAGTATCACAGTACATAGTATCACTGGCTGGGGGTGTGGGCTGTGCGCAGCTGCATCGAAGCTCCCTATTCTGGTTCAAGAAGCTGTCGCTGTTGTCTCAAGCCACGCCTTTTCCAACTCGACATGTTATATCACTCATCGATGCATCTCTCATCTAAATTGAACCCCTCTTGATGGTTGGTGATTTACGCTGCACATCCTCGTCGTTCGCGAGAAGGTTCGACTTGTTGAATCATGCTCAAGGAAACACGGGAAGTTAGAGGTGTGAGGATCGCTAGGTAGAGAAGTCAGGACTTGAGAAAAATAGATCTTCTTTCTTGGTTGGTGTAAGGTATGTGATAGTGCTGTTAATCTGTTTAGTGAAAACTAAATGATAGTTCATATACATACGTAGTGCGTGTTCGGTATCTGTGCGTGCCTTTGAATAGCGCTTCAACATATGAACGTCAACCATCTGGAAATGATTCATATGATCCCGCTATGCGAAGGGGGGAGGCTGTGGAAAATCAACAGCTTTGGTAGTGCTTTTGTGGTTCGTCGAATTTCTAGCTACGAAATTTTTCACACTAGATGTCGAATTCAATATTTCACCATTTAATCGAGACTCCAGAATCATCTTGCATGTCATTCTGAACAAACTGCTTCATGTCAGGAAATGATTAAAAGCTTGATCATCGTATCAACGTCCGTTCATCTTTGAAGCTGGCTGATGTAACAGATGAACAGCTCAGACTCTTTTGAGATGACTTTCACGGTACCGATAGGTACGAACAGTTCTAACCCCTACTTATGCAGGACATAACTCAGCATGATGCTGGCGCCAGCGGGACTCATAATCATATGATGAACGAAATCCTGGAATATATTGATCTACCGCGATATCATTGTCCGCTACATTGGCATTCTCTTCCGGTCAGCTCGTTGCACAGGGGATCGTGATGTGGCAGTAGGCACTGCGAGGGAAATTCTTGTCGGTGGGCATTGAATGCCCCCTGCTACTACTAGACAACTCCACACTGCCCTAGTTAACTGTCCCTTCACCAATGGATGTGAATTGAATCACACTACTCAACATCGATCCCTCCCTTATCGCCCTCCGTGAACAAGTCCAAATCTGTTTTCTTCACCAAATGGTAGGCCTGTCCAGCCACGCAGTCATCACTCCTCTATGTATACACGGAAACAGGTATCATGTCTGTCTGCACCCGCGGAGTATAGTGCTAGCCCTGTGTTATCTCCAATACCTCGCCACCCTCCCTTCCTCCCACTATGCCTTGAATGCTCTTCATGAGAACATTATCTTCTGCAGCTCACACCATCCGACTTTGCAGTTGCTCAATTACCTGGTACATACCAATTACTGGACTGCGCGTTTTTCAATATATGTAGAATTTATGATTGACAGTGTAAGCAAATCTATTCAGAAATCAACAAAAGATGACCTGAACAAACATATTATTTAACACCTGGTCAAAAATATGTATCACTTCTCCGAGATTGTCTCAAGCCTGTTGAGGTCGGTTTCACCAAATATCAAAAGATTGGTCTGTTGAACGCGGCTATGCTGTTCACATGCCACTAATATGATCATGTGTTATAATATGTCATATGTAGTCATATGTAGTCATTTACTATATGCAGATTCCTCAGTACTTCCTTATGTAATACTGTCATACAATTATGTATATAAACAGGCTATATCCTATACTGGAATCCAACTCGCTTCTCTCTCAATCTTATTGCCTCTCTGAGACTACAAGCTTTGTTACCCAGGTATGGTGCTAGAGTGTCCCCACTATGCACCCCTTGCCTGCTCAACATGCTAAGGATGAGGGTGACACAGCCCTGTTGAGCAGGCAAGGGGTGCATAGTGGGGACACTCTCTAGCACCATACCTGGGTAACAAAGCTTGTAGTCTCAGAGAGGCAATAATCGACGGTCAACCCTTTCAATCCAAACTATTCTTAGGTCATTCCTGTCCTCCCCGTAGCTCCCTTCGAGCTCCAGCTTGCTCCTAGCACGCTACAACATAAATTCCTTATACCAAACCCAACCTTAAGACTCATTCTGACCCAGGTCTTCAAGCTCCAACTTCTATAGCCCTGCCTTGTGACCATTTGAACAGTCTACAATTGATGTCCCAAGATCTTACAGTTCACAACCCTCATTTGTCGTAACAAGTCCCAATTCTCAATTCGACATCTCATGTCAGCAATTGTTCAAGGGACCTCCCTGGACCTCTCAGGAACCTCCTCAAGGGTCACACTTAATGTCCTCGTACTTCCATCATGTCATTTCAGTCCTTAGTTGCAGTTCCTGTAGCTCCCTCTGAGGTCCAGCTTGCTCCTAGCACACTACAACATAAACTACCAATACCAACTATAGGTCTTACAGTTTTGTGCTGCACAGGTTAGAGGAAGGAGAACAGCACAGATATTTCAATGCTCTACCTCCCATGTATGGTCTACAAAGCCGGCAATGCAGTGGTCAAATATAGCAAGCATAATCGGACATCCAAAAAGACATGTCAGGAACACTCCAAGGCCGCACACATGAAGCCTCATTATGGTCTTGAGCCCCCCACCTCTCCTATCTCTGATCATCCTCCCAAAAACACAGAAAACCCCACCAACAATTACAAGAAAAACAATGATCCCCAGCCAGGATCCTCAGCACGAATACAGAAAGCAGATTCCTATGCAGATATAAATTGAAAAAGGATGTGGACAAAACATAGAAATTTAAAGACAGTCCAGGATGTGGAAGAATTTGACTTGGGCCACCACCACATTGGGTATAATTGAGAGGAAGATTGTTATAGGTAATACATAGTTTGATTTGATTAAAAATAATTAAGTGTATCATAGAAGCAATATTTTGTACCTTTGAGGGATTGTAATCTGCAAATATCAAAGGAAAGTGAGGTTGTTGGAGTCATTATGATTTTAGATTAGATTGAAATAAGCGCCCGCTTAGGTTGGAGTTGCCCCATACCCACTATCTGGTGGACCGGAGAAGGACCTAAGCAAGCAAGGTGATATCCAAGACCTGGTATCAGCAACACCAGGCCTTGGAGAATGAGAACGACGAAGGCCGTGCAGGGTATAAAGGCTCGGTAGGTATAAAGGTTTGGCAGATGTGATTATGGATATGATTTGGGGAGTTGAAGCAGGGGACAGTGCGAGGATAGAGTGTATTTGAGGCAATGAAATAGAACCGAGCCAGGTTTTTTGCTAGGATGCTTTTTTGACTCGAGAATAATGGGGCTTGAGAAATGTATGCATATAGAGGGAGGGAATACTCCCACGCTCCCACTCTCTCAACCCCTCACCAGGGATCCCACCAATGTCCCTCCTCTCCGATTCAGCTCTCGCCTACCCATTCTCACTCTGTCTGTTCTCCACCGCAGTGACGTACATCGCGTCGGTGTTGACCTCCAACGTCTCCCAAGTCGACCGTCTCTGGACCTTCCTCCCCACCATCTACACCGCATACTTCGCTCTAGCTCCTCTATGGCCGAAAGAACCGACGTATGTTGCTGGAATTCAGATTCCCTTCATCCCTTTCCTCCCAGCGCAGCTCCAAGCCCAATACCCCCTCGATGATCTCACTGCCTCCATCACATTCTCACCCCGCGCTCTTCTCATTCTCACCCTGATAAACCTATGGATGCTTCGTCTCTCCTACAACACCTTCCGCCGGGGTTTGTTCTCGCTCACAGACGAAGACTACCGCTGGTCCGTCCTGCGACGGCAGTTCAACGAACGGTTCGGGGGAGGAGGAGGCGGGAAAGTGGTTTTTCAGATCGTGAATTTCACGTTTATAGCGGCGACGCAGAATGTGCTGCTTATGGCGTTGGGGTGGCCGGCGTATCTCGCTGTGACCCAGACCAGCACGGGTGGTAGTGGTGGTACTCTGGTTATCACGGATTACATCCTCGCGCTATGGGCACTCGGCGTACTCGTCGTCGAGTTTACAGCAGATAATCAACAATTCGTGTATCAGACGTACAAACACACATTCCTCGCATCCACCTCCACCTCCACCTCCACTCCCACCTCTACACCCACCCCCGCAGACCACACCCACGCCCTCCGCGTTGCATCCACCGTAGCCTGGCCTTGTGCTTCCCCTGAAACCGATCTAAACCTCACCCCCGCCGACGCCCACCGCGGATTCCTCACGTCCGGTCTCTGGAGATACTCCCGCCACCCCAACTTTGCCTGCGAACAGGCGTTTTGGTGGTTGATCTGTGGGATACCGGCGTTTGCTGGACTATCCGAGTCCGCGTCCGCGTTGGGGGGACTAGGTGGACTAGGTGAGATGAAGGTGAGGGTTGGGATGGGATCCCTCCCCCCCTTCCTCCCCGCCCTCATCCCCTTCCTCCCCGCCCTCGCCCTCTCCCTCCTCTTCCTCTCCTCCACCGCCTACACCGAAGCCATCTCCGCATCCAAATACCCCCTCCCCTACTCCGCATACCAATCCCGCGTCCCCATGTTCGGTCCAATTCCGCTTCTTGGGCTGTTCGCGATTCCAGCGCTGATTTCCTTCCCTGTTTCGATCCCTGTATTCCTCCTATTTTCCACGGGAGGATGGAAAGATGTTGTTGATGCGATGAAGGGCCCTGTGGGGTGCGCGTTGGAGTGTGGTTCCGTCAAGGCGGTGTGGTGGAGACTTGCGGCTACTGGGGAGAGGGAGAGGAGGAAGGTGGAGGCGTTGGTTTGGGGTGGTGGGGATATGGAAGAGAAAAGGAAGGGGTGATGGAAGTCACTGCAAGGAAGGTTAAAAATTTTGATGAACAGGAAACTAGGTTTCCTTTCTTTTCTTTCCTTTTCTTTTCTCTTTAGCTGTTCCTTTTTCTTTTTACATAGCTGTTTCACTTCTCTTTAGCTGTTTCTTTTTCTTTTTACATAGCTGTTTCACTTTAGCTGTTTCCCTTCAACTTATAACTGAACTCGAACTTGGACTCGGACTAGCTGTTTCTTTAGCTGTTTCGCTTTAGCTTATAACTGACCTCGGACTCGAACTTGGACTCGAACACTACGCAGTGTATTATTATACCATATTGCCGTGTATGTATAAAGTATAATATCTTCTTCAAAGAGCTATACAATGTACATATAGCTTCGCAATTGCAGCGTAACCCTAAGCTATCCCTAGTTGCCCTTTCGCTCAGTGCATTGCAATTATCATTAGACGCCGACCGCCAGCGCTTCGGTTGAGCGGCCACCTCCGCGGGTCAATAAACGTAAACCTCTCTTTTCACTTTTCACTTGTCCTGGTCCACTCATCTCTCTTCTCCAGCTTTTCTCATCTCTTACCATCATTGCACTCCACTCTATTGCACTCCACTCTATTGCACTCTCTCGCACTCCAACCGACATGCAAACCTGGCGCCAAATATACTGGAACAGAACCAGGAAGCATTTCGTTGATGGGTTAACTGACAGTGAGTACTAAGTACTGTACTCATCATCATCATCACTCATTCTCATCATTCATTCTCATCGCTACCACCACTACTACCACCACCACCACTACCACCACCACCACCACCCCCACTCCTACCCCAGTCCTCAAAATGACCGGCGCAGACCCCCCTTCTAGAGCCCCCCACACCCTGTTCACGTTCAACTCGCACGAGGATCTGCGGATGTACGCTACGGGGTGTGATGCAGACATCGGGGGGAACTCGACTGTGAATTTGGATTTGGACGAGGCTAGTACTCCACATCCACATACGCATACGCATCCACATACACATCCACATCCACATACACATACGCATACACATACGCATGCACATACGCATACGCATAATGCGCGGACCACGCACGCGACTGCGAAGTTCTGGGGAGACATGCGGTTGGATGTGCGGCCGCAGTATCAAGGAAGGGTGCGAGGTGGGTATGCTGCGTTTCGGAATAAGGTAAAGTATATCATATTATCATATATCATGTATATCACAACAAACCCCATCTCTCATATCCTCACCTCCTCAGCCCCGCCCAACCCTCTTCGGCGACATCCTCGACAACATCGAGTTCCACGAATACCTCGCTCTCCGTCTCCGTGTCTCCGGCGACCCAATCACACACAACTCCTACTTCGTCAATCTCCAAACAAACGGCCCGATAACAACAGACGTATGGCAACATCGGTTGTTTTTCAGGAGGAAGGATGAGTGGGAGGATGTTTTCGTAAGTGTTTTCGGCGGTTCTTATGGATAAAGTACTTTTTTTCGTTTATTGGACTAATTGCAATTGCGTCGCCTCGTTCCCTTCCCTCCGTCTCACCTCACCTCACCTCACCTCTCCACCCTCCCCCAGATCCCCTTCCGCAACTTCGTCCGCACCAACAACGGCGAGCTCTCCGAGATCCAACTCGAAATGAGCCCCCACCTCCGCAGCGTCGGCATCTCCCTCCTCGGCGGCAACAGCGCCGTCTCCGGCAAATACCAGCTCAACATCGACAGTATCCGGATCGTCAATGAGGAGGATGCGGTTTCTGACCTTGGTTCGTCTTCGTCTTCGTCGTCGTCTTTTCTTTTTTCTTTTCTTTTTTTCTTCTTTTCTTTTTTTCTTCTTTTTTTTTTCTTCTTTTTCTTTTCTTTTTTTTTTCTTCCTAAGCCGCTTGACGATTTCTCAACCCATCTGGTTTCTATCTATATACAGATTCTTCGGGTACTGATGAGAAAGAGGAGAAAGGTCAGACTTGGGAAGATATTAAGATCTAAGTAGTGTAGTAGTTTCTCTGTGATATTACAACCAATTGTAATTGTGTGTTTGTTTGGAACCCGGAACAGGAACAGTACCCGTTGCCATCCATCATGTATTTTTACATCTTGCAGTACATCAGCTGCAGCAACCATTGGAAGCAGTACATATAGCAACCCTTGGAAGCAGTACATATAGCAAACCCTTGGAAGCTTTTGAGAAATACGTGAATTGAGTTCTAGATACTACTTTGTAGATATAAAGACTGAACGACAAATGGTATATACATAGTCGATATCATCATTCATTTGGTTCTACTGCAGGAATGTTACGGGGGATATTTTGTGAAATATATGAAAGTAATCTAAGTATTACCGTGACCGTGTATCAGCATCTTCACCACCTCGTACCGGAGTAAAATCTACATCGACATCGGGCACTGCACACGTTCAACAGCCTGAGAACGAACGAGCGTCTTCCTCCCAATCCTCCAAATCCTCCTCTACCACCGGTTTGTAGAGGGAGCAGACGGACTAGACGTCGAGCCCGCCATCATACGCAACGTCGCTATTCAGTTAGGACTGACATTTCCCTTTGTTTCCTTCGATCATTTCCACTCTTATTGTTCTCTAGATTACTTACACGCTACTTACTTACATTTTGAGGTTTCATATACACGTCGTAGCCTCACGCACAATGATACGTATCATTCAGTACTATATTTACTACCAATGTACGGGACAGGATCCCAGTTTTTACAACTTACAAGCTATACTACTGTTTTGGACATACGACGAACACTCGCACTACAGGTTCCAACTTGTTGGCTGTAACAATGACCAACGAGTCGATGATGGCAACACCCAGAGGTTGCGCAGCGCCCACAACAGGCGAATTCAAACCACTGCCAGCAATCAACGTCTCATTCTCCTCGAGCGCCTCTACGAATCTAGTCCCGCCAAACGAAGGTGACAATGGTGTTTGAGCAACGTCACCCTTAGCCGCAAATACGTCGTCGGCGACAAAAGAAGAAGAAGTCGAAATCTCTTCCGGCGAGGAATGCTTCATCGCAAGAGGCGTAGATACGTCTGCGACATCGAGGGTGGTATTAGCATCCGTACGCGTGGTGGGGGTGACACCAGGAAGAGACATCGTAGTAGCAGTGATGCGTTTCGCACGTTCTTTAGTAGTACTAATATTCGGGGATGCACAAGGGAAACTATCGACTTTCCATGTACTAGGAATCAGCGCAACGGGTAACAACCAAGTCGCGTTCAGAATAACACCGTATCCTATGTATCAAAGAAAAAAAAAAAACCCACACCAGAGTTCAAGTTAGAAATGACTGGTTAATAACCAATTAATCCATAATCCATAATCGGGGGGATCCTCACCTGTATCATATTCCTTAACACTCTCCCAGGACCAAGAGATGAACGTCCCGATGTAGCTGATATACGGGACGATCCCCTGCAACAGCAGCACGACTGGTTGTAACGGCGGTGGAAACACCGCGATGGGGATCTGCGCAAACAGCCACGTCAGAGCGGCAGAGATCATTGCTGCGCGGTTCACGAGTGTGAGTTCATCGTTGCTCAGGATGGCCATTAGAGGAGGCGGGAGGAATCTGAAGTTTGGTATATCGGAGTCGAAAGAAATAAAGGGTAAATCTGCGACAACTTACATTCGATAGCCCCACCAAGTCGCCTCGATAGAGAATTTCGTTCTAGAGGGTAGCCACATTTTCTTGACGGCCTTAGCAGGGATCGGTGAAATTCTTGATTTCGGAACGCCCGGTGTTGGTGTTGATGGGGTTTGAGAAGAAACCTTAGGTATTCCAGGGATCTGATCTTTCTTTTTGCTAAGAAACGGCCACCACCTCCAACCAGCGGTAACAACATGCTCTGCCCTTGCGCTACCGTTATCGTCAGCGAGGGGCGCCGGGGTCGGCACAACAACATGCTGCGATTCTGCGAGCTCCACCTCGTCCTGGGTCTTGGGTTGAAGAGGAAGATATAGCATGACGCTCGTGTCGGGAGGGTTACAAGATATTGACGTGTTACCCATGTTACCCATTTCATCCCTTTGATGGTGATTAGGAGGAGCAAGGGAAAGCAAAACACTCCACACGGTTGGCTGTTTTTCCTCTTTGCCGCCATTCATGATGAGGGGGTTTGATAGAACGTTGATGAGGTGCTTGTCGTTGATGAGGATCGCCGACGGAGGAGGAGGGGGAAGGGGAGGACAGCTGGAAGCATCCAAGTCGTGACTCGGAGTCAAGTGCAAGTTGAACTTGGGCATGGTATGAACGGTGTCAACGCTCGACTCGTTATCAGGTGTAACAACAATGGCGGGTAGGGAGATAATGAGCTGCCGAATCCTCTCAGCGAGTACATTAGGGTTTTCGGTGTCATCGGTATAGCCATTTGTATCAATGGCGGGGCAATTTTTCACAAAATCCGAGTCTTCGCCAGAAAGTCCAACCAAAACTTGAGCGTTGTTTGAGGAACAATCGCTTGACGGTTGGCCAGCCTCAGATCCTCTTGAATGGCTCGTGAGTTTGACAAAATTTCTGAATCGTTCAAGCCCAGCGGGTTTGTGGTTATGATTATAATGTCGATGCTGGGGTTCTTGTGCTTTCAACTTCACTTTCAAGGGACCCGTTGTCATGTTCTGTTCGATAGGCGAGATTTTGGAGGTAGACTCAATCTCCGCAGAAGTTCTTGCGCGGGGAAGTTCCGTTTTGAGAGTGGTGTCCATTTTTTTGAAAGTGGGGGTTCAATGAAAAGAGATGGGTAAGAATCCGACTCAGTTTAAACAGATAATCGGTTCCACCCCCACGTGATATTAATTCTCCTTAAAGCACCTGTACCATGAACCAGGCTAACGCTATCTTGCTTTCTCTCGACGCAGATGCTGCGATAGCTAGCGTATCGTCCTCCGCTGGCATCAGCCCAGACATGGTCCTTCAGCAAGCTCAAACATACGTGCAAGCCACTCTGGGCACGAAAGTCGGTGGATTTGTCTTCTTTGTGCCCATTGAGATTGACGACGAATCTATAATGGCCAAACAATTAGGACACTTTAGTTGCGAATGGATCAGGTGGACCAAAGGGACATTGCGAGAGACACTGAAGACCAATCCAAACATCGAACTCGTTCAAGTTGTTGCGATCCGGGCCCAATAATTCAATGAGCTCCGTACCCGAGAATTATTGCAGCTTACTCGTATCAATTCTTGATTTTTTTGCCTCAGCTCCACGAGAATTCCTTCCAGAGCTTCCTGGTGGTAATTTTTTTCACGAGCGAGCGTTTAAGGCGCCTTCAAACGGAGCCAAACCCACGGAATTCTCTGACAGTCAAGCAGACCCGAAGACTCGAATTCATATAGACCGTCCTCGGGAGCCTGGTAATACCTCAGTTTCAATTGCTCTTCTCGTGCCATCCTTTGGAAACTTCCAGACGAACATCAAAAACATCGCACCCTCCGACCGCGCCATGCTTTTTGCGACGAAGATGGCCAATGAACTCTGTGTTATCTTTCGTGACGAGCAAGAAAGGGAGCAGATATTCTGTTCAATCTTAAGCGAATTTCTCGGCGAAGATGTCTCAAAGGCTATACGATTGGCGATTCCAAGACCGATGGTGGGGTTTTCCATAAATATACGGCGATCGACAAGGATGGTGCCGCACGGCTTCTCCTCAAGGTCAAATTAGAACAAATCGGCACCAGTGATCCTTGCTTTCAAGTTTCGTTGTACTATCTCGAGAATACGCGCCGAGTTCGCCAGGATGTTGTCAATAGCAACGAAGAAGCGGCGGCTTGGGCCAGGGCAAGACTACCGTCGATTCTGATATCACATCCTGGTGAGTGCATCGGTCAAGTTGTACCTTCAATGAAATTAGTTGTTTGTTCTTAGGCCCCAATATCCAAATCCTTGGCGGTGTTATGACTGACCGACCCCAGTTCAGAGTTCTCACACCATCTGTGCCCATGTATTACCATGTTTCGAATCAAGACCTGTTTCTTGGATTCGCGCGCACCCTGACAGCCCTTAATGTCCTTTTTGTTGACCTCGGCAAGCTGTACGACAACCCTCCTCCCCTCAACCCCTTCCTTCCTGTTTAACATGTGTACCCTTACTCACGTGAATTCAAACGTGGTAATCAGGTCGTTACTTTCACTTATTAATTGAAGCGCGTCGACCCCATTCGGCTTGTCTTTGAGGTTGAAACCGAGGAAAAGGACATTCTATATATAAAAGATACGCAACAGTATGGCGCCGAAGCCCATCGGAAGGCGCACAAATTGGGGATTGCGCCGGAGCTTCTGGCGTATGATGACAAGCTGCCTGGAGGTTGGAAGATGGTAGTCATGAAACCGATTCCAAAAGGTTATGTGGAAACAGATAGTATAAAGGGAGTGAGGAACAAGGGAAGGTTCAAGCTGTGGTCGTTGCAAAAATGAGACCTTGCTTTGGAGAAGGATTTGTTCACGGTAACCTTCGTGCTGCTAATATTTTTGTTGATGTGAAAGGCAGAACATTATGGTTGTTTTATCGTAGGGTCGCGACAAAACCACTCTTATAAGCTTTTATATCAATGCCCATTAATTCGAACTATCCAGGCTCTCTGGGTCGCACATGAAGCTTGACTTCCACATTGGCTACATTCGCTTACCCTCATATTTCTCTCTCAGACCTCTTAACTTAGCCTTCCACTCGTCCTTTCCGATATACGCCCCACACATCCTCCTGTTCCCCACAAATGCGGTCCTACCATGCAACACTCTATGATTATCCACGATCACCGCAGTGCCAGGAGTTAATTGTATGAGAAATTCTGAATCAGGCGTGGTCAAGAGGGAGTGGAAAGTCCGCAAGGCGGTGTAAAATTCTTCGACAAGGGAAGGGGAGATGGAGGATAACACTGATCGGTCGTCGTTATTCCACCTCACTTGTATTAGCTCCCCAGATGCATTATGGGATAAGACGGTGTAGCCTTCTCCTGTAGAGAAGATACCTGCAGAATCGCGTTCGCCGGCTGCGTGAGCGGGTATCCGTATCTCTGATAAGAGACGATAAGCGGAGGGGTAAAGAGAACGCAGGATGGAGGCCACGTAAAATCCGTCAATGAGGAGTGTTTGACCGCCGAGCGATGAGTTTGGAGCGCTCGAAGCAGGGTAAGAAGAAGACGAAACGGTAGCGTCAGCGCCTTGAGTAGCAGGGGAAGATAACGAAGAGGGTGTGAAAGCAGAAGATGAAGATGAAGCGTTTGGGCTATTTGTACTACTGGTAATTTGTGTGTCATTGGATGTGGGAGATGCTGAAGACGCATATAAGTTGGGGAATTTTGTATTGGGATATGTGGTAGAAGTATAAGTGGTAGACGACGACGATTCTGACGCTGAATGTTCAAGGAGGTGGAATAGTTGAAGACCGCAGGGGTCTGTCTGTCTCAAAAGTTAGAAAGTGTTGACGAACCATGACTGAATATTTCCAACTCACAAAGTATGTGTTGTCCGTATGCGCGCCCAACGCGATATTCGTATACGCCGTATCGCCCTTGGCCAAATTCGAGGTGAATTCCCAAAATCCGCCATAGTGCGTCTCTCGGATGAAGGATATCTTGCGGACGAGAGATTCGGTAGACGCAGCGTTTGGGGGAACGTCAGTTATAAAGGAAAACCCGAATGTATCCTGAAATGTGGAAGATGGAAGGAAAATGAACATTAGGGAAATGATAGACTGTGCAAGCTTACTATATTCGTTAACCATTTGTATAATGCTTGTTCCCCTTCCTCGCCTAGTTTCAACACATCGTTGTAGGAAATGGTGGGAGGAGACTGTGAGATTCGGGCATTCCATAGGATTTTCTTCGTCCCCTTATCTTCTGGCTCAATCGTTGGATCATATGAATTCTCCTTCAACCACTCCCAAGAATACACGGACTCGTGTTCACCGTGCTCTGAGTGCTCATGTGCTGGCCAAACGACCCTCAGACCTTTAAGACTACTCTCTACCATGATAGGCCTGATATCCGGAGGAATTTCGAATGTATTGAGTAACCGTTGCATGGTCTTGGGATGTAAGCAGGTTGGACAGCGACAATGATCTCGTAGCCATATGTGGTGACTGATAGGAAAAATCTTTGGGTGAATGTCTGAAGGACTGGTAGCAAATGAGAAATGCATACTCACAACCTAGACCAAGTTCTTGTATCCCACCCAATCGCAACCCGTTTATCATCCAAACTCGTTATAGGTAAGTCGTCTAGATCATAGCTGTATTTCGGGGGTGATGGTCGAGCAGGCGCAGTTGCTGCAGAAGATAATGAACGGATTCTTTGGAGAGGTGATGCACAGAGTGCTGGCCATATAGAAGTCGATGACACTGGTACCCATCGACATCGTGTCTGAATATTCCGACATCCTGATAACCTTGGAAAGTGTTTGATACTTGCCAACCTGCTCCAGCGACAAGTTCGGATACCTCTAAAGCCTAGCATGCCTAAATGTAAGGATATGGTCCTTCACTCTGAATGAGCAATGAACCGTGTTCCGCGTAATTATTGCTCTGGCCACTGGGGACGCAGACTAATGGCAGAAATGAACGTCAAGAAAACGAAAAGTGAAATCTCAAAAAGGAAATAACTTCATTTACTCGTGATCTATCAAATTCACCTCCGAATCCTTGTTTACATTAGATTTGGCGTCTCAGTATCTTCCAGTTCTCGCACAATTCCAGATAGACTCAGAATTTTGGCTGTTTTTGGATGAAGCTGAAGCCTAATATTCATTGCCGAGGTTTCGAAGTTTGAAAGCAGCGGATAGACATAACATGCATTCGCATGTGAGCCTCCTTCGTCCGGCTCGGAGGGGGCCTTCGGCCCCCTCCGTTCCAAGTACGTCTCACATGTGGTGCTCGCTTCGAAATTCTAGTTTCGAGGGGTGTCGGTGCTGGCGCACCTTCGTAAAACAATTATCAAGACACTGTAAGATATACTGAGTAAGTAAGAATGTACAAGGTAATGGAAGATAGACACTCGCGACTCGCGACTGAATTCGATGACGAGGATTTACAGGGGATTACCAAAAACGGCGGTGGCTGTGACCTCGTGGGATTTGCGAATATAGAATTGACGAAAATTTTCACCCTATGGCCAGGATTGCTTCGCTTCGCTCGCAATAAGCAAGTACAGAAGAATACAAAGGGGATTAATTATCTATCGTGATGGTTCTCCGATGCTCTCCGTGGTTGTACATACAACTTCTCCCTATCCCGAAACAACAAGTTCCAAACCTTTGACTTCTGCGATTTAGTCCTGTACGAAATCAACGAGACTACCCCGTCCAGATACGCCAATGCAGGATCATAAGACCCATGGTAGAAACATTCTGTTGTCTTGTACTTGTTCAATAACAGCGGCAACTCGTTGAGCAACATGTCGAAAAAGGATTTCTTCTCCTCCGCAGAATGGAAGCTGAGTTTCGTAAGAAGGCTTCGGGCTGGTTTCCTTCCCAAAGGTTCGGAAAACTGAGGCTGGAATGCTACTCGTTCGGCTTCTAATCGAGCTTCTGGGTTGTCTATGTTGTGGGATTTAAGTTGTAGGCCAGCGTCTCCAATGAATATAGTCCAGTCTTCTCCTAAACCCACATTGTTTGACCACAATACTTTTCCCTCGCGTTGACGCACAAGCTTTACTTCAAGGTCAACGATAGGATCTGGACAATATTTCAAGGCATTCAAAATCGCTCGAATTTGGACAGCAGGAGATCTTGGCTTACCTAGTTCGCGAGGTAGTGGACATGCCCCAGTGCGATCTGTCGGAATGCTATGAGATGGATTTGATGTTTCTGGCACGCCTGGGTGAAAATTTGAGGCATTTCCGCCTATGTAGACAAGGAGAGAACAGGGCTTACAATGTCCATGAGGGGATGGGTGTGTCTGAAGGGGCAGAGCCCGGGGCAAAGGAGAAGACGCGACACCAAGGATGATGATAAAGAGGATATATAGATGCAATGTTTGAGATAGGAAAGATAGGCAACAAATCATTGGTATCGATCGTGACACAGCCAGAGGTTGCAGTGAGGAAATGTGCGCGTGCGCTGGGGCAACATTGTCCGTTAGCCAAGTCATATCAAAAACAAGGGCAGATCAAGTCCCAAGACAATGAGTGAACGCACTAGACAACGGATTGTAAGAGTGGGAGTGAGGTCAGGCGACTGTGCAGTGAGGAGAGACGCTGTCAGCTAATTTGTAGAGTAGTACAAGAATCTGGAAGAGGAAGAGTATCAAACTAGCGACCAGCGTCAGTTCAAGTTGAAAGAAGAGTTAAAAAGGAGGGGAAGAGTGAGTTCTAACTTCTTGTCCGTCGGAAACTGTTGAACACAGCCATCATGATCACATATACACTTACAGTGATGAGTAGTGGCCAGGGGAGGTGATTATTTTCCTTGAGCTTCAGAATTTGAGGTCCACCTTGGTCCTTCAGAAGCTTCATATGTCATACTTTGAGATGAAAATAACCTCAAGCGCCCATATAAAATTTCCTTCCAAAGTTGTCTCTGTCCGTTCCGACAGCGCATATAAGGCCATCATGTGTCCCTGTTCCGGATGCAGCCCTTTTACTTTCCCTTCATCCGATGCTGACTCGGACTATATCGAGCTCTAACAGGCTCTAACCCTCTCTAACCCTGTGCTCTAGCAGCTCTATAGCTACCTGTCCCACGACAACCTCCTTCACATCGTCCCTAAGCTTTTTTCCCACTTGCCTACATGATTGTTCTTCATTTCAAACGGTCCCCCTCTGCTCTGTAGTTTCAAATAGCCACCCCCATCCTCTCCCACCCTGCGCCCTAAAGGGAAAGGCATCCACCCTATCCCCCCCCCCCCCCCCTCTATCCCACCTTATCCCAGCCTAAAGGAATAGGCTGGGTTGTTTCTATCCCACATCTTACACAAACTTCCTCAGTGCCACAAGTCTCCTCAATCTTTGCTTAATGTCTACTGAAATCAGCATTCATTTCTTATCTTTGTGCCAATATGGAGCCTACTACAGGTTTTATAGAGTTCAACTGATCAAAGAACATCATCAGACAAGTGAGAAGCAATGCCAGAAAGGTGTGTGTTATGTTAAGTTTCAGTGCCATAATTCCACCACAAAGTCGAGCAACATCCTATACGATACAAGTTATACGATAACGGTAAACCTATGCAGCCCTTTTATAAAATATAGCGATCCACAGAATGGCCATCCAGATAAGGCAGCATACCTCCCTTATCAATGAATACGGCAACACCAGATGATTGGGACAATGATTTGTTCTGGTATTTAGGACGGTAACGGAGGTGCAGGAACATATCCTCGTCCTCGCCCCCGGAATCCTCCTCCTCTTCCTCCTCTCCCGCGTTCGTTCATCGAAGGACCAAACCCACCTCGTCCACGGTATCCAAGACCAGAATTGAACCCTCCCCCGCCGCGATGGAAGCCTCGTCCTCGCGGTGTATATCCACCTTCATTAGCAACAGGCGCTGAAGGACGAGCATTGGAATTTGGAGCGTTCGCTAAGTGATCATGCGAAAGACCCCGCGTATGATCAGTAGATCGTGTTATTCCACCCCGTGCTACTATACCAGCAGCACGTGGATGTTGATGTTGAGGATTGGTCATTATGTGCACTGGTTTGGGAGGCGACGAAGAAGGTTGCTGCGGTGCTGGACGAAAGCCTGCAGCAGGATGCTGGCCTGGGCCAGGTCGCACCAGGGGATAGGGACCAGACCGAGGCTTGAATGGCGCTGCATGGTTTACAGGAAGCGGTTGTTTTTGATCCTTTGGATTCGTAGACGTAACAAACTGTGGATCACTCAGGTTTAAACAAGAGTTGAACTCGACCGCCAGTCCACGATACTGTGAACATCTGAGGAAACAGATAAATCGACTCCACGAGATAAAAAGAGAAAGAGAAGCGCACCTGTCTCCGAGGGTAGTTCCACTCATGAATGGCATGTCCCAGACCACGTCCATAGTCTTTGTATTCAAACCAACAACAACACCCTTCGCGCCCAGTGGTACTCCACCTGAGTCCTGTACCATGATGACCCTATCGCTCAACGCGAACCTTTGCCCCTGTAGTCGGTAAATCGCGTGCGCAGGTTTGAGGACCGCCTGCCGAGGAATACCTTTCACGATAGCTTTCTTTATCCCAGTAGTCGACCTGTTTCCGTTGAAATCGTCTGCGAGTTTCTCGATTTGTGTGATAGTCTCCTTGCCCAGCTGGTCACAGAAGAGTGTCACAGCTTCGAAATCCTGAACACCTTTGGATTTCAACCAGCTTCTGATATCTTTGACCCTCGCATCTGGATTAGCACCGGGTAAGACGTCCACCGCTCGTAACATGCCTGTACAAAATTCACTAAGTCAGAACTGTGCAAATAAAATATGCAAAATTCGAATACCATCAACATTGATATCCAAACATTTGAAAACGTCGGGGAATGCCTCTTGATACTCTTTGATCAACTTTATCGCTTTTTCGCTGAATTCCCAATGTCGCCCCTCCTTCCGTGAATAATCTATCACCTTCAAGCTTTTTGCTTCGAACTTGATGTTCAAGCCAATATTGTGCTTCTGATTGTCAGATGAGATGATCAGGAAACTCGAAGTAATTCTTGCTATGCCCCGACTCGACAGCCCAAGCATCTCTGCAGCACGGAACGCAGGATAGTAAGAAGCTGAAGAAGGGGTTTGTTCTTGTGCGATGGCCTTGAATTGAGCATTTTCTGCTTTGTCAGAAGGGAAGAACTGATGGTAGATGAGCAACAGGTACAGATGAGAAGAACCGATCACTTACTGCAAGAATGACAGAAAGACTGGTATCTGTCGTGGCAGACACCTGGGCTGCAACACCATATGCGTGCTCTCCCAAAAAGAAAATCTTACTTCCTTCTGGGAACTCCTCTGACAAAGGCGGAGCTGGTCGCTCGAGGTATCGCGGATCCTCTGCTCCAACAGCGGAGACTGTCATTTGGACCGCAACTTCTGTCTCCTTGTCGATTCCTTCGTACTCTTTGACAAGCGAACCGTCCTCCAGACGTTTAAGACCTTGTTCAACATCGTTTCGGTGAGCATCAACACAGACAGGGAAATGTACAGCAGAATATACCTTTCAGTGGCCTAACATGCAACAAGACCTCCACTGGCCCAGTGACAACCCCGAATCTTTTTGAATAAACACCCTCAATTTTATCTGCTTTGACTTTCCAGAGTCCAAGCCCGCTCTGACTATGTGGCGTCCCTAGCACCTTCTCTGTTCCTCGTCCTGGTGTGCCCACTTTCACCGTCTCATACCGGAATAATTCATCGGAAACCCCTACCACCAGACCTTCAGATAGAAAAGGCCAACCGATAAACGTTCGGTTTCCGAGAACCTCCCGTCCAATATCTTCCGTTTTGCGTTCTTCATAAGTGTTTTTCACGTATACGATAACGCTTTGGTTACGCGATTCCGAGCCATGAACATTGACATGGTGGTAACCCAGTGCCGTGTGTGTGGGGGGGAGAGTATTGAGTGAAGGAAAGCCTGATAAGGCTGATGGACCGGTCAACGCGCCCTCAACAAGACCAGTGACAAGGGGAAAATTAAGGTCCGGGTCTAGTGTAGGAAGGTTAAAGACTTCCATCTTACACATACAGCGGTGAAGTGGAGGGAAAAATCCCGGTAATGATGAAGGATATTCAGTTGGTTCAACATTCAGACCACGGAAGGTGAATTTAGTGGTGGTTCCGAAAGTATTGCGTTGCTTCTCGGTGTCAGTGAGAAGATGCTCCTTGGTGCTCATTGCGGCGAGCAGGCGCTTCTCATCAATGAACGGAATTTTGACGATAGCTTCCCAATCCGCCCTCTTACCATTCAAGTCTTGCTCGAAATCGGCTGGGTAGAAGTCCGATATTGGTGACATACTGCTCGTCATAAGGTCCTGCATTTGAGGTCAGTTCAAGAACGGAGGAATGATGGTTTTCTGACGCACATGATACGCTGTAGGTATATGGTCCTTACTTGCTGCGGGCAGTACACCCATGAGCTGCTCATAAGGCCTGAACGGCTGACCAAGCTTGAAGTCGAAGCTTAACTGTGCGATTCCTCTCCTCCCAATTCCACCCTCTCCACCCCATCTCGCTTTCGAGGACAAATCCGAAATCCTCGGCGCATAGTGGTAATCGTAGAACCAAGCCCACGATTTGACTCCCGTGAAATAATAATACATTACCCATTGCAATCCCTCAACGTAACGATACACCAGCTTCTGCATTTGTTCAGGATCGTCGTAAGAGAATTCCAATTTTCCAGAATAATAACCCCGTTTCCACTCGTCCATCTTGTGAGAAAGAGCATTCGTGGCACGGGTATCAAAATCCTCTTCGCCTCCATCAATCGGCGCCTTCTCGTATTTTCTCAACACCCGTAACACCGCAACTTGAGCCTCCTGCTCCTCATCGTCGAACGCGTCCTCCGGATATGCCGGCGAAAATGAGAGAATGTTACGCCCTTCCTCGTCATACTCATCCCAGGCGAGAGATAGGTTCAAGTCTCGGGCGATAGTCAAGATGAACAACCTGTCTTTTGCCGGGAAATCGTTAGGCATAGTTAACGCTTTGGTTGGTTTCGCCATTAGCCAGTCGCGCACGGCGCGGAAAATGTCATGTTGAGGTTTTGTGATGACGAGCTCATTTGTCTTCGGAGTAGCTCCGTTTTTGTATTTAGCTTGCTTCCCTTTGTACCAATTCGTATCAGAGTTCTCTTTTTCGAATACATCGACTTCCCATTGGGCCATCTCATCTAGAATGAACTGGAGTCGCGGTAAATTGATCGTCCCTGCGTCGTTAATATAACCTTCCATGGTAGGAAGGACTTTCTTGTATACCTCGAAGAGCTTTTCAAGCCCATTTTCGTGGATATGGAGGTCAGGTAAGTTGGGTAAGAAATCGTTACCGACGAATACGGCAAGGAGGACAAAGTCGTCGATGATGCGCTCAAGGGAGTATTCGAATGGTAGTTCAGTAGCGAGAGAGTTGAATTCGAGGTGCAGATATTCTCGGAAGAGGGATAGATGGAGCAGATAGAAATTAATGGAGTCAAGTGAAGAGTTGCCGCGACTCTTCCGTGTTGGCCCAAATTTGACTTCCTCCCGAAGAAGACAAAAATGAGGATCGTGGCTGAGTAAGCCAAGCATAATGAGGTCTGCATCGAGACCGTATAAGCAATGTCGAAGATTAGGGTCGTAATCTGGTTGGGACCGCGATAGACGAATATACTCCATGATTTTGTGCTCGCCCTCTCCTGGAACTTCATGACCGGAAAGTACCACCTGGACATCCCTCCAATTTGAATCCTCCGAGATTTTCTTGTTCACGAAGTATTTAAGCTGTTCCGACAACCTAGCCATGAATGGCGTCCCGGGTGTTATACAATTACTGTCGAACGCCTTCTCTTCTGGTAACTTCTCCCCTTTAGCTTCAGCTTTCTGTCGAAGCTCTCTGGCTTCCTTCGCTGCCCTAAATCTCCTACTACGCTGTTGGTTCATCTTCGCGCGAGGCGCGACCCCATCTACCGCCATGAAAAACAGTTTCTTTGGCTTGATTTTGCCAAATAGATGGTCGACATATGCGAAAATAGAGGTAAAGATCTGTTCTTCAGACAGTCGAAAATGTGCGTCGTCATCATTTGGATGTGAGCAGTTGTGAATGATAGCATTGAAGTCCAGATATAAATTATCTGCTCAGTATTTAGTTGACCGTATTGGCAAAAGGGTGTAACAACGCACCGAATTCGGGTATCTTGTTCTCCTGAATGAGTTGAGACGTTAAAGGGTATCGTTCGCTGTACAATGTCAGAAGGGTACAGAATGAAGATCAGAAAATGACATACGAAATCCAGCGAAAGAACTAAGCATATGGGCGAGAAATTAAAATACTGAAGCACTACATTTTGTACACAACATACCTTAGGGATACCTGAAATTGCAAAGATTCAGTACAATCGTAGTAAGGAGGTTCAGAGGGACTCACCCATATTCTTGCTTGTCGTTCAACGTTGAGGATCAGGCTGCCGGACTCCTCATTTTCCATCATTTGGCGCTTATACTCGGTCCGGCTGACCATTTCAAGCGCTTATCTTGTTTATGTAGTTCTCGACCGTGAACTATTCGCTACAATACTATACCGTCCTGTGCAATTCGACAGTATACATAATACAATAGCGCAAAAAATGCACGAGCCCTCATTTACGTTCAATCTGCCTACTGGCTCTCTCCCTGGTTCTCCTCGTCCCATCATGACAGATGCTGACAGGCGTCGGTTTCCTAACTCGCAGTCCATCCAAACCCCTACGACGATCTGGTGACAACACGCTCTATGCGACAATACAGATTAGGAGGGCGATGCCAATGTTCTTTCAATGTTGATCCCATTGGCACCCCTTATTCCTTGAACCAACTTCCAACAGCCCAGTTTCCTTCTCGGCCTAGGCTTGACCGTGAACAACCTGCTGTGGCAGTCAAAAAAGTCACTAGCGGATTCCTATTCATATTTGAATCAACCATGTCCCCCCCCCCCCCCCCCCCCTTCAGAACTGGCATGTCTGGGCTGATGCTGTGTCCAAGAAAAAATTGTTCCAAATCAAAGCATGGTGGAGAACTGGTGAGAAGGACATGATCCATCATCTGTGATCAGCATGCAGAGACATTGGCTCCCATCATTTTCTGATTCAATCTTTCCTGGTTGAGATGTCGGCACTCATCAAATGGTATGAGACTCGCGCATAGTATAAAAATTCCACCTTAGTGTGAAACTAGCGTTGCGCATGGTAAAATATCTTATGTACGTGCTCAGATATGGAATATATCAAGCAAACTCTCGAGTGCATCAATTCAGCGTGAGACTTCGAAGTCACCCTCACTTGCTTGATCAGACAGGTTCCATTAATTCTAACAGGACACGACCGAGCAGGCTATCTGGACTATATATAAGTTGATGCCTTTGCGGTGATTTTACCTACTTCGACTCTCACGTTTTGAGGACGTTCTTCCCCAGCTGTTCCCAATTCTCCCGCGTCATGGGCAAATTAGGATTGCTACTTCTACTCTTGCTGCTCGTTTCTCTATTTGCTTTGAAATTGAATAACAGAGCCAGGCGTGCGAAGGTAACTTACATTACTATATGTCGAGTAGACTCCAATCTTACTCCTTTCACCAGCGGTATCTTCCTGCGAACGGATTCCGTGGGATTTGGTTGAATTATTCGGATTCTGTGTGGAACTGCTTCCGCGCAAAATCTGCTATACGAGATGCCTGTTTTGGTGTACGCCATTCAAGACACCACTGAAGACTCGGAACTGATTTACCATAGTTTTCAGGAAGCTTGTTCACGTTCTCCCTGCTGGGTCAATGGGTCGTACTCGCAATGGAGAAGGATCATGTGAGAGAGTTGTGCAACGCGCCGGAGGACGTCCTATCCATGGAAGCGGCAGCGGAGGAGGTGAGAGAACCTCTTGCGAAGGAAAAGCATTAACACCTGGTCTAGCTTTTGCAACTGCGCCACACAGTCGGACCGCTATTTTCTGACGAGTTATATCACATCCCTGTCATTCGAACAAAACTTAACTTGAACCTTGAGGAGATCTTCCCACCTCTTGTGGACGAAATACACGCCGCATTTTCGGATATCATCAATACTCAGATTGGGGAAGCAGGTAATTTCGACCCTACTATGGTCTGCTAAATCTAACACCCCATAGATTGGGCATCTATCAAGGTGTTACCAACTTTTTCCCGTATAATTTGTCGAGCTACAAACCGTATCCTTGTAGGGAGCCATCTCTGTACGTCGCATGATATCTCTCGCGGCTAGCTATGATCTTTCATTGTGCCTTCTTTCACAGGCCGAAATGAAGAATACTGCAAGCTTGCAAGCGGGTTCACTAATGATGTCCTGTCCATTGGACCAGTATTGAAGTTTCTTGTACCAAAATCTCTTCGCCCGTGCGTCGTCTTTCTTCTCTATGACATCTATGAAAAGCAAGTGATAAAAATTAGATTAGTAGGAATGGCATACAGGTCGCTGTTCAGCCATCAAAAACGAATGGAAAAATTATTGATACCGTTGATCAAAGACCGACGACGTCGGTGGCATGATCCAGTTTCTGATATTCCAGTCAGCTCGAAGTCTTCCCTTCGCCCTCCGCTATTTATCTAACAAAGAAGTTCAGAATGACATGCTCTCGTGGTTGATGGAAGCTTCCCCGTTGCACGAGGAATACTCGACTGAGTCCTTGTCCATGCGTATGCTCAATGTCAATTTTGTGGCACTGCATACTACGACCAAAGTGAGGGCCCCTTCATGATGATGACTCTCGCTCTTACGAGAATTTACCAGACCTTCACACACGCCATCTACTGTCTCGCCTCTCAACCACAGTATATTTCAATTCTACGCGAGGAAGTCGAACAGCAACTTGATTCAGGTAATACTACGACGTGGACGAGGGAGGCACTCGGACGGTGTGTGAAACTTGATAGTTTTTTGAAGGAAACTCTTCGACTTCATGGTCTCGGTGCGATATGGATGCCACGACTTGCAGTCTCGGATTTTTCCTTTTCCGACGGCACACATATTCCTCCAGGTTATTTTGTTGCTACCGCCGCCACTGCTGTGCATGAGAATGACGCTCTGTACGAAAATGCTCGTGACTTCAACGGATTGAGATTCTCATCAATGCGCAAGGGAACCCTTGATAGACCAGAAACTGAGAAGGACTGGCAGTACAGGATGACTTCGAATTCTGAATCATATCTTGCATTCGGCGGAGGGCGCCATCTTTGGTCAGTTCTTCATTGTCTATCAACATTTCTCTCTCACAGTGGTTTCCTCAGTCCCGGTAGATTCTTTGCTTCAATGGAAATGAAGTGCCTCATGGCGTATCTCGTGCTACATTATGATCTCAAAACCTTGAAAGACGGTGTGAGGCCACCAGATGAATGGTTTGGACCTACGTCTAGTCCAGCCAGGAATGCGAGGGTGTTATTTCATCGACGTCAAGATTTTCCATCTGCGTCAATGGATTGAGCAGATTCGTGGATTTCTGCTTTCCGTACTTTGAAAATTGTGTACATGTATGCTATCCCCTTTCACAGAGTTGCACTTCTGGTTCAAATCATTGATTTTCTTGATATTTTTTGTACATTCACCCAAGGGGAGATATCATGAACACATTTGAGCGCGGAGGCAACGCACAACCTTCGGATTGTTCATACTGTAGTTGATGGGAAAATGACGATTATTGGCACTTTCGCAATGGCCGAACCGTACAAAGCAAAACAGAAAGATTCAATATACTCTAATTAACGAGGAACGTTAGGTTGTACAAAAGATGGTGGAAGAGTAGCCGTGCCAGAATTAGTCAGATGGGAAGTGAAACAAAACTGAAGGTACATTGCATAATGTCTCTTTTTCGAAAATTGTACTCGATAAAACGGAGCTTGGAGTCCAACAAGCCGAAGTTCGATTGGTGTTGGCAAACTGGAAGATCGTAATTTGCGCGACCCCCGATTAAGGATGCACACGTTCTGCATCATAGCAAACCTCGACACTTTCACCGTTGATATTTGGCTGTGGGGACCCCGCTGGTAGGCCCCGCTTCTTCCAAAATTTGTACACCTGGACAATATCCTGATTATTCTTGTAAGACAACAGTTTCGAAACAGCAAAGTACTATAAACAACGCTCACCTCCTGTGTTCCAAACACAAGAGCTACTGAAAGTGGGACTGGAAACACAACAAATTCATTAGCTACGAAGTTGACAAGGGTAGAACTTTCAGATACGAACTGATAGCCAATAGATCTTGTGTGCCTGTTCCAGAAGATGCGGCTGAACTGGTGTTCAAAAAAATGTCGACCAAACTGGACAATGACATGTCAAATGAATATGCAACTGCCAGGAGAACGTTAAAATGCCTACATACATGATTCCCAATCCTCCAGCAAATGTGTAAGTTCCCGCACGAACAAACAGTGCAAATGGAAAAATGGGGCCACATTGGCAACGCCGCCGTAGATCCCTGAAGATACTGCGTAGACGCCAAAGATAATAGGCTGTGTACACTGCTGAAACATGTTACATGACAATTGAAAGTGTCCACAGGAACTATTTGCGTACACTCAAGCAAGATCATCAGTACAAGGAGAGCAACCACTGTGACTCCAGTAACGGTGGTACTGCCAACGAATGAGAAAAAAGAATAACGATTGGCATTATAGCTTACGGCAAATTGTCATTGATATGACAGAACATCTGTTGCGCGTTCCGTTGAACAGTATGTTGTTTAGAAATACCGGTCTAAATTAACTGTTAGAAGAGGGAAGTCACATATAATGCGGAGGACTGACAAATAGTGCAATCCAGAAGACGAATTGATGAGTCAAAGGTGGTAGGAATAACAGCTGAAGCACAACGCCTTATATATGAACAAGTCGCCATTCAATTGAGCTTGACCTACTTACAGCTGTAATGAGCCGTTTGTCAAGTTTTCTTGATGTCAAGGTAGTGAATAGCCTGAGATACAGCTCAAGATTTTAATCAGATACACAGAGTCTAGTAAGATAAGTAGATGGTAACTCACTTCCACAATGAAGGCTAATCCTGCCGCAGCAACACTGTACAAAGTTTCTGTGAGCTCAAATAGATAGGTTCATACAATAGAAGAGTATGTAGTTACCTTGGAGGTGCAGCATAGATTAGTCCTGCTTGAAATAAGCACAAACCCAAAGATGGACTGGCTCCGGTTTGGTGTCCAAGAAGAAGAAGGAATGATATACAATACAACAGGGAAGAGACCATCAGAGCAAACCAGGTTTTGAGCCGCTGGAGTTTCGCTGAGAACAACGCCGAAAGATATGTTGCTGAGACAAGGGCAAGAGCCGTGAACTGCAGCACATCGAACACAACAAAGGCATGAGTTTCTTCGGCCTCTACATGAAGTGAAAGGTCAAACAATCGATTTATTGAAAGGAATCACCCACCTCTCGTTGCAAGAGCGTATCCAGACATGTTCAAAGGCCCAGTGAGTCGATGAGGAAAGAAAGGATAGATAGTAAAAAGGTCGGTGCTCCTTCTTCTGCATATATGAGTATGGGAACTTCATCTGATAATCTACCAAACTGCCAACCAAGTTGACGCGTCAGCACTGAACTGAGCCCTATCGATGGAAAATCTTGTTTTGTAACTCTTGATACAGCCATAGTGGCTTGATGCCCACTACCTACTACCTTTAGGAAGTGCATGGGTCTAAGGATAGTCCATTTCAGGGACTGCGATTTTTTGCCCCGTCGTCTCCCGTTGTTCAAGTGAGCACTGTGAGCACTCAGAGTGCGCAGAAGATAAGCAGAGAGAAGCAGAGAGAAGCCAAGTCTAAGTATGCTGAGGTGGGCGAACTGCAGGTAGCGGACTATGGCTAAGTCACTCATCTTCCCACGGATGACTGTCGTACAACGAACGAATACTTACTTTCATTTGCGATGGTACATTGTACCCACTTTTACTACCGTAGCCTGACCCTCCGGTAAAATGGGACCGTCTACCACAATCTATTCGCGTCACAATCCACAAACCCTATTGGTCTATCTCGGAGATGACAAGCGCACTATTTGTTTCGGGTAATAGGTTAAACTTTTGAATACACAGGGTCCCGGTCATACCTTCTGAGGCCTTCTGTCAATAACCAAGAGAATATGCTATTTAACAGCTTGTTTTCCTTCCACGCATTTCCTCTCTAGATCTGATTCCAACGGCTTGAAACAAAGAACATGCGAGAAGCTCATACGTTTCTTATCTTCGCAACTTTGATCACCTTTTCCTATGTTTGTGCCGACGGTTTACCACAGTCTCCTTTCACCTACGAACAACAACAGCCTTCGTGCATGAACCGAATCGTCCCACCGCGCACGACAACCGCCATCACGAATGTCAGCGTATTTGATGGCTATAATTTCCTTCCCCCTCAAACTGTGACCATAGATGGGGATGCTATAACTGATTTCGCCTTCAATATCGAGAACATAGTCGATGGAACTGACAAGTTCCTGATCCCAGGATTAATGGACAGTCATACTCACCCGGACACCTGCGATGATCTGAAGTCCTTCGCCTCTTATGGTATCACGACGGCCTTCCAGATGGCCTGTTATGACTACGCCCAGTGCGATATACTAAGGAATCAGGAGGGCGTCACTGATATTATGCGAGCTGGGATCCCAGCTGTCGGACGCCATAGTGCTCACTCCCGCCAAGCCAAACTTTTCACGTCCCAGTCATTGTATCTCGACTCTGATATAACCGCTGCAGTCAACAATGCATTCAGTAATGGCTCCGACTTCTACAAGATCGTAGCCGAGAAAAACGGTCCCACTCTCGAACAGCAGAAGGAATTGGTTGAACGGGTACACGCATTAGGAAGACAAACCGTAACGCACGCTTCACACCTCGAGTATTACCTCCAAGCCATCGAATCCGGCACTGACAGTATACAACATGTCTTCGCTGACGGCGAAATTGACGCGTCCATGATCGCCAAAATCAAGACCCGCGAGAATATGTTCGTGACACCAACTATGGAGATGTTCCGTATTGCCTATGCGTACCCAAGACTTGCCTTTATCCTTCGGGGCTGGAAGGGATTTGGAAAAACTTCGTTTGCGGACATCCAGAAGAACGTCCATAAGATGTTTATCGCTGGCATTCCGCTTCTCGCTGGGACTGACTCTATAGGAAACGCCTTGCGTTTCTTAACTGGTGCATCTCTTCCTTTCGGTCCCACTTTGCATTGCGAGTTGGAGAATTTCGTCGACATTGGAATGACCCCTGCGGAGGCCATACGGTCTGCAACAGTGGTACCAGCTGCATGGCATCGCGTCAGAGATCGCGGTGTTATCCTTCCCGGAATGAGAGCGGATTTAGTTTTGTTGAATAGTAACCCTTTGCTCAACATTTCGAATGCAAGGGACATTGCTCGCGTGTGGATTGCCGGAGTCGAGTATCTTGATGTAGCGGATGGTGCCAAGTTTTCGTGTAGCTCACTAATAGATTGAGGCCTGAAGCTCGATCGCGACGGCATCGACCGACGATAATTTCAGATAATGTGCACGTGCTACTTTTCATGTTTCGAACTTACTTATGAGTGATCATGATCACTGATTTATCGATGGCTGACTTCAACGCGACTCTACAGGTTCTGAAAGAATTAGTACCCCCAGCGCTCCAAAATCCCCGAGTGGGCATCATATGTGGCTCCGGACTAAGCGGTTTGGCAGCAACCCTAAGGCAAACTGTCTTGGTGCCCTATGATAGACTCCCAGGTTTCGTTCATAGCACTGGTATGCCATTTATATTATCTCCTGATGTAAAATCATGTTCCTATCTAGTTCCTGGACACAAGAGCTCGCTTGCGTTTGGGCTGATGGGCTCTGGAGCTGGGGTACCTGTCATTGCAATGCTAGGAAGGGTAGGTCATATATCCAGCCATTGTTGGCGCTGATGGACATATCCTCAGTCAGTTTCATCCTTATGAAGGTCATAGACTGTCATCTGTAGTGTATCCGGTGCGCGTGATGGCAAAAATGGGAGTCAAGGATATAATCAGTGCGTTCCATCTAAAATTTGACTTCTAATATGATCCGACTCGATGTGCAGTTACGAATGCTGCTGGCGCCCTAAATCCAGAACTTGCAGTCGGAACTAGTCCGTGATTTAACACCCTATGCCCTCACTTCTCACCATCGTTCTAGTCGTTGTCGTCCATGATCATATCGCTCTGCCAAATCTTACGGGAATGAACCCTCTTCTCGGGCCACAGACAAATCTATCTTTACCTCGCTTTCTCCCCCTATCAGACGCGTATTCTCGTCTCTTACGCAAGCTGGTGTTCCGTGCGGCTCACGATCTTTCGATTAAACGCGATGCATTGGCGGAAGGAACATATGCTTGGGTTAGCGGACCCACTTACGAGACTCCCGCCGAAGGTCGATTTCTTCGTGCTGCCGGTGCGGATGTTGTCGGTATGAGGTCAGTCTATTCTGCCTTCACTTTTTCAATCGTGAGTTGATAAAGACGGCAGTACTGTACCGGAAGTCCTCGCAGCTAGGGAGGAAGGCATGAATGTACTCGTTCTAAGCTTGGTCACCAATGCGGTGGTGATTCCTACGGACTATAGAAGTGTCCGTGATGAGTTTGAATCTGAAGTGAGTTTCTTTACGTGTTGATATACATATCTTGCCAAACCCCTTATCTCGCAGAATACCGGTATGTCAGCGACGTCAGTGGTGGATGAGGTAGTATCTCATGAAGAAGTCTTGGCTCTCGGAAAACTGAAGGGCGATCTTATGAAGACCATAGTAGAAAAGGTCATAGATCTAATTCCAAGCGACGTATCAATGTCTGTGCAAAATTAAACGTCCATACATATGTACATGATAGAATTCTTGTCAAAAGGATTTGGTTGTTCCAAAAGGTGGAGTATTCATGCTAAAATACCGTCGTCTTGACTGCAATTCTGTCCATTGGTCACTTGGTCACTCACACGAACTCAAGGACAAAGAGTTGCTTTGTGCGTGGTAGTGTAAGATACCGTGTATGTACAAACATCGATTACATGTACGGTAACTAGTGAGCTCAGCTGTAGAGTCAGAATGCCTGTCTGAGTAGGCGAAACATATGATACAGTAAGAACGAATATAAACGAGTGATAGAGGGGCCGGTCATGAACAAGAAAGGAAAACAACCCGATATTGATACAGCAATCGAACGACACCAGCGTTCTCCAGATTTCACAAAATAAAGGAGTCGAAGGCCAAATATTTCCCCGCAAAAATTCAAGAACTGTGTGGGCTATACATCCTGTTGTAGTGCTCGGCGAGAATCATCGATCCGGTCCTTTCAACACTGGCGAGCAGAAGAGGACGCAGGCGTGCTGCCGGTGAAGCTGGAATATTCATGGGAGCCACAGTTGAAGGGAAGTTTGGCCTCACGGCACTCAGCATCGGCTGATTTCGGAGCCCAGTAGGCATGTATCCATTGGCATTTTGATTCGCTAGCCAGCTCGTTACGTCCAGGTCCTCCGACGTCAAGGAGGATGTAGAAGCCTCAGAGACGCGGGCACGTTCTTTCTGAGGGGAAAAAGAACGGGCGGATGAGGACAGTGCGACATTTCTGGGTGAGAGCGAAGGTCGTGCTGGGACAGGCCGTGATAAAGAACTTGGTGCGACGGAACTGGGACTGCTCAGGCTCGAAGTAGACGGATGGTCAATGATCAGATGAGAAGGCGGAGGGGTACGCCGGGGAGGGATAGGAAGACTGGTAGTCGAGCTTTGGGATTCCTGTCGGATATGATCTACATTTGAAACCCGGGCTGGAGGCCGAGAGGCAATCATACTTCCAGGAGCTTCTACGACAATGCTTTCATTCAGGATCGACACTGGGGAGATTTGCCGATTGACTTCCTCTGCAGTGGCATGGCGGTACGAGCTTTGCGCACTTGCAGCACGCTCAGGATACGAGACCGTGCTACTGGCATTGTACGAGGAAGGTGAGCTCAGTGAAGTTCCTCTGTATTCCTTGATCATTGCTTCAGTCAAATTCAACTGAAGGGGTCCTTGAGAGCCCAGTGAGAATCGTCGTTTGAAAGTTTCTGCTGTTCCAAAGCTCTCCAAATCCGCTTGACCTCCGGAGGCTGATTTGGCCTCAAAAGCAGGACTGAGAACGCGGAACGTGTTGAACAAAAGCAGAGCATCCGCGATACCTGCACACCGAAGATCCGGTCAGATATTGACATGAACGAATGGTGACGGTGTAGACTTGGATCACTTGCCTAGAGCGAACCAACAGACGAAAGCAAACACCGTCACCTGAAAGGGAATCACAAATCCTCTGATAGACAACAGCCGAGTGACTGAGTAGGGCACGAGAAGCAGGATGTAAGCTGAGTACGAATTATTGAGTCTCAAAAACATTGAGCTGTTATTGAAGGAAGTTACCTGCAGGATACCTAAAATGTATGATGGATATGTCAAAGTGTGTTTTTAATCAATGGCTTGCCTACTCACCATAGCATACTACGAGCAATGCTAGTAACAAACTGCTGATAAGTGGAATCTGAAGTTACCCTGACTCCCCCCTTAATTGCAATAAACCCCCGCAGCACAAGAAAAATGAGAGTGTATAGGATAGCCGAAAGCACGGCGGCCAAGAAAATCTTCTCCCATTTAAGTCTGACGTTTGATTACGACGAGAACTGAAGGACTTACAGGCAGAAGATGGAAGAAGAACAGTTGCATTTTCAATGAGGCTCTGACCCCGCATGCCAATCCTGAGGGTCCGTAAACAGGACCCAAGTTCGAGATTAGGGGAAGAAAACCTAACATAAGGTGTAACGAGATCGAATAACATAGATCAAACCAGTGCTCACCGAGCACAAGCGAAACAACCCAGCCAAGCAAAATGGTAGGCCCGTAAACGTAAATCGACTGTCGTTTGCGAAGCACCAGAGAATTGAACGTATGAAATGCAATCGCTACCGTGAAGTATGCTGTCGCTATATTCCCGACCTGCATAACGGCGGCTGAAAATACGATATTCAGACATAAAATATCTGTATGCACGGAAATAATGAACCTTGGGACGTGCAAATAGCATCTAGGCGCTGATCAGATCATAAATTTAGAAAACAGACATGACAAGACGCACTATCTGTAATGGCACGGTTCACCAAGAACGGAAGACCCAACAATCCCGCTATTCCATTGATCATGTTCGCAATAAGCAAGCAAGCGGCATAGTATCCCAGTTGGGTATTGAATAATGTTTGTGCAACGTTCTCCCCCAGGACACGAAGGATCCCCAACCAAGAAACACGCAAAAATATGCAGAACAGGGAAAGGGTTGAAAGAATCGCAAAGGCATTGACAACCTGCAAAATTTGAGAAACATCGGTGATGGGCATCTTCAACGATGATCAGGAAACGTACGATAGCACCGGCGACTTCATTCGACGGAATTGGCAATACTGTCTGATTCTGCATTGCGAAACTTAGAGGAAACGATTTCGTTCTAACAAACTGGTGCGTGGATTTTGAGAAATTTGACGCAAATTGGTCGTCCAGCGCCAGTCTTTCGAAAATCAGTTTCTCGAGAAGAAACGAAAGGAAACCGGTCCTGAATGAAACGAAATATTGAAATGACCTGAGTGGTACAGAGGAAGAAGTTCAGATTGTTGACCCATGTTTTCATTTCAATGTTCTTCCCTTCATCCGCATTTGGATTACATGTCGTCAAATTTATGATGGTATGCTATGGGGTGTGCTCTGGTGTGCTACACAGGCATACAGTTCGATGAAACAGTGTTTGACCATAGGCAATTGATGCTGCGGGTAAAATTTTTGGCACGTAACGCATAATCCGTAACATAGCCCAGAGCTCAAATGAGCCATAGGCCCAAAAACTCGAAGCGGGGCTTCAACGCCGCACCGCGCGTTCCGATCGAATCCAACGGGCCTTTTCTTTCTGTTCCTCCCCAAGACATAAAATGAGAGAAGGCATATCCATATTGACTATGTACATACCATGAACATAACAAACATAACAAACAACTAATACAAGAAATATGCTACCAGTACGCAAGAACAAGTCATGGTAAACGTACCTGTAATTGGATTACATAATCAATCACAAATGACTTTGAGAACTTGAATTTGGGTCTTGATGACCAGGTCTTGTCGCTTGAAGCTTGAAATTCTTGCGGTTCATTGCTATCAAAAATTTGAACATTGAGTAATTGAGCATTGAGGTTGGAGTAAAGTGCCTCCTTCATGAGAGAAGTCATCTTCTACACATGATATATTGAAAGATGGTTTTGAAGTGCACGCAAATGTCCTATATTTCTTGTGTTTGGAGTTGTTGTATTTGACAAGATGTTGAGCGTGAAGTTGCATATAATAGTGGTGTATTCAACCTTGAGGTGGCCAATTTTGATGGATGGGTGAATCTTTCTCCCTGCAGAGAATGCAAGTTCATAAGAGCATTGGAGGTGGTGGTGCGAGAGAAAGAGACGACGACGAAAATTTTACAAAGATCACATGAGCAAAAAAATTCCCATTTCGTATTCTCACATGACTAGAATTATAGACTAGGGATGAACAGACAGAAATTGAAGCAAGAGATGGCCTCAAGAATGCGCCGTTGCTTATTTTCGGGCATTGAGCCATGGCATCAATATTTGAAACTCAGTTCAAATGAGTATTTCGTACCTTGTTCATACTCAAACATTTGAACATGGGTTATATGAAGGTCTGACTGTGTAGGAGATCCTGGTGTGCTCTAGAACTGATGTATGAGATAGTAATTGTATTGTTGCTGTACTGCATATGTACTTATGTAGTTAGGAAAGAATTGACAACTGCGAATCATTTCTCATGTCGTGTATAGCAACCGATCGGAAGAACTCAAGAAAGCAACAAGAAAGCTCCAATCAACGCCAGCTCCCTAATATAAGTAGCTGAATACCTTTGTACGTACATCATGAATGCTGAATGCGAGAACTTAAAAGTCGCGAAGATTCTGGACTTCAGATGATTTTATGATCACTGTCCGTATTTGGTCCAAGTACTGCTTACCCACATACACAGTACAGACTACAAATGTAGTTGATCATGATACACTGGTATTATGTCCGGTTGAAGAACTTCTCGATCCCTCTTGGCCCAATTTCTTTCTCTTGGATCATTGGAGTTTTGACCTTCTTGTGAGGCCCTCTAACCTCTTTCACCTCCGGCTCCATTTCTCGGGCAACGGATTCAGCAAAATGAAAATCACTATGTTCATCCTTCAGAGCCGCTAGAGCGTAGGCCCGTCCCAGAACGTCACTGGTGGACAGTAGCTTTGGCGATAGTGAAAGCGTCTTATGGCATTCTAAACATGTGAAAGAGGTGGTATTCTGATCGGCAGATGGACTTGAAGGTCGAGATCGTACACGCTGTGTATTTCTGTGCCGACTTTTCGAGGGGTTACCGTTCTTCTCCTCGTTGGGACGCTTGACCCCAGTCACAGCATGAGAGTCAAGAAAACTGGCGATGCTTTGTTGGCTTGCGTCTGTTGCCTCGATCCCCGTAAAGCCCAGAGAAATATAGGTAATCCTAATGGTGCCGGTAACGTTCCCTACGAGTTCCTTCCAAAGTTTACCTCCGGCTGCAGCGATGACATTGACGGTGACCTCTTTGGTAAATGGAAAAGGTGCCTGTTTGGATCGAGCCGTCCCATATCCTATGCGGACCTTCAGAACTACGAGAGTACGAAAGCAGTTAACCTTACCGTGACCCGCATGTAAAGCAAGGGTTTTAGGCCATAAGTTGGGTCTTTCCTTCCTAGCATCGTTCAATCTCAGCGATAACTCAGCAGCGAGAACGCGAATCCAATGTGGACCATCATCTATTTTTGTAATTGGTTTTTGGAGTGCTTTCGCGGCTAACATGCTTTTGTTGACCGGTGATTTTTCTTTGACTACAACGGATAAGTTTCAGTTTTCTTGCAATTGAACCGGTGTTGAATCACCTTCGGACCTATCGATTCCACTTCCAACGAAAACATGAATCACCTTGACATATGCTTTGATTATAAAACATTGACATACCGTAATATCTCATACACCCAAATAGCGCTTTCTCCGAATTTGGCTTGAAATTCCTCTACAACAGAAAATCAGTACTTCTCAACTTGAATATTCAAAGCCGACATAATTGAAACCAACCAAGCGGAACGGGACTATGTACAATTGTTGAACTCAGTCAAGGGTGGTATTTCCGATAACACGATGTGTACATACAGCAAATCCGCGACTGTTGAAACATCATATTCTTTAGCGAGCGCTTGCCCCAATTTGCCACCCAGGAATCGAATCTGATTCATGATTCAATCAACAAATGCAAAGAGCGTTCAAAATCCTACTAAACCTTTTGGAATTCTAGAGGCTTGAGATAACATGGTATTGCCTGATTGCGTAGAATGGTCTGTCATGATGAGATGATGAACCCACCCGCGAAGCAAAAAAGGAGTAGAGGTACCTGCGAATATGGCTTCCTATATGACGCACAGAGCTTCGTTCAGTTGAGAAAAGGTTCGCTACACCAACAAAGTGGCCCTACTTTGGCAAGGAACTTGTTTCTAGCGATACCCTACATGTTGAAGATGAACGACTAGTAATGCCGGAGATGAAAGCTACCATCAACTCACAGCAGACGTAGTATATCCTAGTTGGGCAGCAATGTCAACTCGCACTTTGTGCATCATTTCAGCAGCAAGCCTTAGGGCTATATCATGCCACGTTAAAGGAGCTGATTGGGAGGTCTCTTCGTCGGTCGATTCGGAATTCGCATTGGAATAGATGGGTATGAGATGCGAGTCAGTGCCCCAATCTATGGGGGGAGGTGGAGGAAGTGGAGTATCGACGCCATTTGGTGCGTCAGCGGGTATCTGAGATAGATATGGGAATCTTTGTAGAAGAACTTGTCGCACTGGCTTTGTGAAATCAATGAACGCTTCGTCAATAGATGCCTTTTCTGTCAGCATCGATATCATCAACTTGTGTGTTGCAGTCATATAGAGCGATAATCAACCTATCTCGGCGTCGGGAAGCCCCTCTTTGAGCATGCTAAACACTTTGGAACTCTCCCTACGGTAGTAATCGAGAGACACCTGATTGACTGTTAACGCGTATTCGACATTGTAGAAACGACAGTTGAGCACACCTTATGTGTTCGTGAATCAACATTGTCCCAGTACCCGGGTTCAGCATCTCCCTCCTTATAGGTCGCGACGTGAACAATCATCAGTTCCGGGCAGCGTTCCTTGGCGTCTTTGAGTTTATGGAACCGTGAAATGCCGAATTTACGGGCGGGATAATTTACAGCGATTATGCCTTCCCATTGAAGAACTACGAGAGGTTTATCCGTGACGCCAAGGCGGACCATTTCGCATGCCGCATAAAACGCATCGGAGTCGCATAGTGCCACCACCCGAAGCGGATCCTTGATACCAAGATTGTTTTGAAGGATGTGGCGATAAGTTATCACTGGGTCCAGATCATCAAAGTCTTGAGCTTTGTTTTTACCTTTCTGGTGCGTCGGAATCATCATGCCAATATTCAAAAGACGTAGATAGTGAATGAAGACTTAGACAGTCATTGTCAACGAAAGACTGGTCACGTTGTCAGTATAGACAGCTTTGACTTTCCTAATGTACTCATGTTCGAACCCAAATACGAAAAACAGACAGTGTGTAAAGGTCCGCTAGTAAAGTACACATAATGATGCAAAGGACAATTCATCTAGAATGTCTCGGAATACAGGTAGGCTGGGGGTCTCGGGCTTGACTTATCCAATCATCCGTTGGATCTGCGCCTGGTACAAGATAGGGTGACATAGGGAGATAGCACATTTCCTAATGGAAGGATTAGAGCTTAGTATCTAGAGCGCGCCGAGACTCACATCGGTGTTGCAAGCTGGGTTGCATTTGAGCCAGATACTCCAGTCCAGCCATAGCATCAACGCGTTTACATCCTGTTTCCACCGGTCGTAAATTGCTTTCAGAGGTCTATTTACCCCACTGATTTCAAAAGAGGTCTCCACTCGATGGTTCACACCATCAGCCCACATCTTCGTAATAGTCCTACAAATCTCGCGATTTGTGGCTCTGAGCGCTGAGAGCATGAGTTTTTCCGAAGGCGTGAAGGTTGTGGTAAAAGTAGATGCGGATGCTGGATATGCAGTTGCACAAGCTTTATAAACAGCGGTGGCCCAGGATATGTCATCTGAAAAATCCTCGATATTTGCACGAGCTGTTAAAAGGTCGTACGGTTGTAGAATCCCTCGTAATTGCAAAAACGTTGCCCGTATTGTAGATGAGAGGCTTTCTAAGGAGCCATCTGTAGAATTTAAGTCGAATCGTATCAACTCCAAACGCGATGCGTAGCGCTGAACGAGGTTGTGAAATAGCGACGACCAATCAAACTTCTGTTCTAATTTCATCCATTTTTCCGGAGCAAGCTCCTTTTCAACTCGAGACTTGACGTTCTCAACCTCCGAGGGGATAATTCCTAAAATTCGATGTTGAAGTCTATTTTGCCCGAAGCGCTGACGAACGAGGCTAGGTGCGAGGGAAGGATCGTAAAATGAAACCAAACGGTGAAGGTGGAGCTGAACTCGAGTTTCGCCAGGATATTCATCTATCCGCTTTGACGCTACCAATTCCCCCATCCCAAACGTATCTAGCGGAACCCCGAGCTCCATGTCTGGAGCCCGTATATTTGGGTATCGGGTTGAGTAAGACGAATAATTTGGCGAAGTAGTAGGATGGTAAGGTACGTTGATGTGAAGCATGGAACTGACTTTGAGACCAGCGGAGAAGTCGCATATCATGACCTCACTGAGTAGGGTAGATTATTAATTTGGCCAGTAGTTTTCAGAGATTACCTACAACGACGTATGAAGTCTGATATAATCCAATGCTAAGTCAGCGACAAGAGATGGCATATTTAGGAGAGAAGAGCGTTCACCTCACAAACCCATCTATTCCAAAGTTGTTACCCCACTTGCATAGATCCTTAATCCGTCGTGGTTCGTCGCTATATCTATCAGGCATCACTCGACCCCACGCGAGAACGTCCTGACTATCAAGAGTCCCGCTGCCAGGAAGTTTGAGCCCGCTGTATCCGTCGAAATACACTATATTGAGAGGACGTTCAACGACAAGAGTCAAATGCCAACATCCTGTGTCGTCCGTGGTGAACAGTCCGCAGTAGAGTGTCGACAGTTCAAAGTCAAAAGCTGTCCATTCCGGGGTCGCTGGAACCATTGGGTCGCCTCGACCATGATATAGGGAAGTACCTGCAGGTATGATTCCTGGCACAACGGTATGCCCTGTGTATAAGATAAATAAACGCGGGCAAAACTCAAAAGGGCTCAACATACCATTCCTATACCGTCTGTTCGGCCATCCCATTGATAAAGAATGCACACTGTTGAAAACAAGATTGGCAGTATCATTTGGACTTGGGGCGAGATCCAAATCCCAAGTTGAATCTGAGTCGATCTCAGGTTGCTGAGCTATAAATTGGGCTGTCCTAGTCACCGCCAGCCAGCCCAAGAGTAACAGCAGCAGGGCTGAGAACATTGTCGCGCACTACCTAAGAATATCTAGAGTGCCATATGGTCGCGTTGACTTGGAAAGATTGGCGTATGTAGGCAGATTTTTAGAATGAGATAAGATTTAAATCCGCAATCGAATCACTCTGATTGGTGGATCGATATCGCATCTCTTTTCAACACCCACAGCATGACGACAGAGGCTTCCAGATGTTCCTTCGACCATTCTTTACTTCCACATTCTCATCTTCACTACGACGTTTCTATAATCAACAAATGGCCGCAAGAACTATCGCTGTCCTAGATGAACAGGAATTGAAGGATGGTCAAATGTGCGAATTTGTTTACTTGTCAAGCATTTGCCATTGCAATCAAGACTTGGCGCAATGAGCTGCTCCGCTGGTGTCAGATTTTTACTGCTGGATCGAACTCTGATATCCACTACTAGGAAAGAAATTGAATTTGACAAAGGAAAAGTCCTGGTTGCACGTCTGGGAGATAAAATACACGCTACGAGTGCTTTCTGTACTCATTATGGGGCGCCTCTAGCCAAGGGTGTACTGACTGCCGATGCCAGAGTCGTTTGGTAAGCCTTGAAGTAGACTTTGAACTATCCTTACCAATGAAGTGTACCATACCATTTAGTCCTTGGCATGGAGGTTAGCTAGAATATTTAACGAACATACGATTTTACCTTTGAGCTGACTTGGAAGACAGCTTGTTTCAATCTTTGTAGTGGTGATATCGGTGAGTATCGATAATATGGATAACCATTTCTCAGACCACGTACTGATCATGAATATAGAGGATGCACCCGCCCCCAGCCCATTACATTCCTTCAAAGCATATGTCGCAGACGGAAAGATTCACGTAACGGCCAACCCCGAATTTACTTTGAAAGAGAATATGGGGAGACCTCCCAAACTTTCCACGGCTGGTTTCGATGCTGTTGGAAAAGGCACGGTTATCATCGGAGGCGGATCGGGTGCTTTCCAAGCCGTTGAAAGCTTACGAGAGGTACCTCGGAAACAATGTAGACATGGCGTTTATGCTGATGTCCTTCTCATCGCTAGCACGGCTACAAATTCCCAATTACCGTTATATCCAAGGAGCCACATGCCCCAATCGACAGGTAAGAGTTATCAACTACCACCTTATCCTCCACAATTTGACAGACTTTGACGCGCCAAAACTAGGACTAAGCTCAGTAAAGCCTTGATCACTGATGCTTCGAAACTCCAGTGGAAGACACCCGCAGACCTCAAAATCAAATATGGTGTTAACCTCAGAGCCGGTGTCACCGTCACATCTGTTGAACTGCAAGATCGAAGAGTTATCCTAGATGATGGAAAGGATAACATCGTATATGATAAACTTATTATTGCTCCTGGCGGTACTCCACGGAAATTACCCATTCCTGGCGTTGATCTCCAAAACGTGTATACGTTCCGTGGTGTCCATGATGCTAAAAAGGTTGACAGTGGTAGGTTTCTCTATTCGAAATTAAACGTTGAGATCTAATTTCTCTGTAGCGGCAACGGAGGGCAAGAAAGTTGTATTCATCGGAAGTTCCTTTATCAGCATGGAGCTGGTGACAGCCCTTTCCAAGCGGAAGCTCGCTTCTATAGATGTTATCGGAATGGAAGAGTATCCATTCGAGGTTGTTCTTGGTAAACAAGTCGGCGCTGGACTCAAAAAGGTAGAATTTGTCAAATTACAAGTTATACATAGCTAATGGCCCTATGCTAGTTCCACGAGTCCCAGGGTGTAAAGTTCCACATGCAGTCCAAAGTTGAGAAGATAGTACCTCGTGAAGACGATCCATCTTTGGCAGGTAGTGTCGTGGTCAACGGCGAGACTCTTCTCGCGGATTTTGTGATTATGGGTGTTGGCGTAGCCCCTGCCACCGAGTTCCTGAAAAGCAGTGGCATTGAACTTGAAAAGGGTGGAGGTATTGAGGTCGACGAATATCTTCGTGTCGTAAAGCTTCCGGCAGCAAACATCGAAAATGTCTTTGCTATCGGTAGGAGATTTCCGTTACTCAGCGTTCGCACATTATGATAATGTAAATGACCGTCACTTGTGGTCAGGCGACGTTGCAATCTACCCGCAAGCTGGGGAGCTAGTAAGGATCGAGCATTGGAATGTTTGTGCTACCTGATTTTGATGTGATGAACATTTGATGATACAGGTCTTCTTGTGCAGGTTGCCGGAAATCATGGGAGGGCGGTAGGAAAGACGATCGCTGGACAGCCGCAACCTTTCGTGAAAACTCCAGTCTTTTGGAGTGCCCGTGAGTCATGCTCATTCGAATTTCAGGATGAAACAGTTTTTAATTACTTTATGTGCAGAGGGTCAACAGCTACGATACTGCGGCTATGCTGCCGGACACGACGATATCATCATCAAAGGCAATCCTGAGGAAATGAAGGTTTGTGATTTTATATACTTGGATCCACCTTTCAGCTTCCACTTTATGACCAGTTCATTGCCTACTACGTCAAACAAGGCAAAGTTGTTGCCGTGGCGAGGTGTGTTACTGAGGTTCCGACTTAACATCCTGTATTCTGAAGATTATATTTCCTTGTAGCATGCAAAATGATCCGGTCGTCAGCGCAGCCTCTGAACTACTTCGATTGGGTTTGATGCCATCTCCGAATGAGCTCAAGGATGGAAAGGTATTTGTTCTGCCCTTAGCAGTAGAAACTGGCGTCGAGCTGATCCGCATCTAGGATTTACTCAGTGTCGATATCTCAAGTGTCAGTTCGCTGCCAAAAGTTGAATAACGGAACCCTCAAGGTTTTTGGGTGTTCGATTTTGTTTTTGAAAACGACCAAATTTCAGGTATTGAAACAATGCAATTTGTACAGTACATATTAACTGGGGCTATAAACCTTTGAAAGGGCTCGGCTTCAAGTTGTACCAGCTTTGTCAGAGCCAGTGACATTTGTGACTATTGATTGAAAGCAAAAAAATCCCGGTACTCTGTTTCAGATACTGGGAGTGCCTACCACAACCCGATGAGGCGTGCACAGGTAGATACACGGCTCCATTTGAAGAGTCCCACAAAGGAACAGCCGAGCCCGGCGCCTCCACTACAGCAATGCTTGTGTCGCCCACGTATGGTAGACTGCAGCGAGTATGGTGGGACATTGAATGCCAGTGGTACTATGTAATATGGCTACTTGAGAGATGTATTAGCATCTATTAGCACAGAAGTCAGACGTGAAAAGCAGAAATCATTACGTGTCCTAAGCTGTCCTAAATAATTGGTTTGAACTTACGGAGCCTCAAAGTACACTGTCTCAAAAGCTGACAGACCACCCAAAATCACTCGTTGAATCGTTCTCGAGCGCGAGAGCTGCACACAATCTTCTCGTTGAGCAGTGCCTGCCAGCTGGTCCCGCTCTGACAAGTTGAAGTTCAAACGGCATGTAAATTCGCACGTTTTTTGTGACAGTCACACGCTCACCGTCCTCTGCACTCATAATCCAGGAAGAAACTTACTGTCCTTCATCGTCACCACGTCGTACACAACTACCCAGACGATGGCGGCAGTGCATGCCTTGCCAGTCATGCACTCATATCACTCTAGACAATCCCTCAACGGCGTGAACACAGTCAATGCCGCGGGGCCCAGCGTACTACCAACTCCACCGGTGGCTTCACGGAAAAGGAAACGAGCTCAACAATACACCGTGAGCTACAGCGAAGTACAGGAAACAGATAGCGATGGTCGAGTCCGGGATGTTATCGTCATCGAAGATACTCCTCCTCCTACTATGTCACCCGCAACAACTCATGGCGGCGGTTACTCGGCGCCGTATCAGCCTCCAATTTTCACGGCACCGATTAGGACGAGAGCAAGAGCAGCTGCTGAAGCGCAAGCTCTTTCGGCAAGCATATCTGCCAGCGGTGTTGCCCCACCACCGAAGAAACGTAAGCGGGATCCTGCAGACGAAATTCGAGCCCTGCCAGCGAAAAAAGCTGCTGCAAGCAGCCAAAATTCGCTCGCGATCACTCAGACCAAGTCTTGGGGTAGCAGGAGTGCTGCTGCGACAGACGAGGTAACGTTCCACTTTACTACGTTCTTGACAAACCGTATTAATCGTTGCTTTACAGACATCCAAAGGGCCTGTGTCATTCGACGACAAGGAAGGACATTATATCATCGTACCCGACGATATTATCTACAAGCGATGTTCGTGATTTTATCCTGGCGTGTTCTGTAATCGTAACGGGCGATCGTGCTTTTCAGATCGAACGGTGCGCCTGTTAGGGCAAGGGACGTTTGGTAAAGTCGTGGAGGCCATCGATACATTCACCAACGCCAGAGTTGCGATTAAGATTATCCGAGCGATCCCTAAGTACCGGGACGCCAGCAGAATAGAGGTGCGAGTGCTTCGAGAACTCAAAAAGAAGGACCCACACAATACCAAGTGAGTGCTCTGCCGAATTCCCCCGTTTGTGTACTGACGACTCTCTGTCTTACCTCAGCAAATGTATACATCTGCTCGACACCTTTGACCATCGCAACCACGTTTGCCTGGTCTCTGAATTACTTGGGATGTGTGTCTATGACTTTCTCAAAGATAACGAATTCGCGCCGTTTCCTCGCCCTCATATTCAAGCATTTGCCCGACAGCTGTTGAACAGCGTGGCTTGTACGAATATATCGTTGACAGCATTTTTTTCTCGGCTGACTCAGGTCTAGTTCTTCATAGGGAGTCACTCATTCATACGGATCTCAAGCCTGAGAATATACTCCTCGTCCACAATGATTACCACATAGTCAATATCCCTGTGCCAGGAAAGGTACTTATTTCTCAAATACCACAGTGCGACCTAATATTTAAGCTTCTTTCTCAGAAAAATGCCGCTCCAAAATCTAAACGGATCTTAGACTCAACCGAAATTAGACTCATCGATTTCGGCTCTGCGACCTTCGAAAAGGAGTATCACTCTCAAGTCGTGTCTACTCGACATTATCGCGCACCAGAAATCATCTTAGGTTTGTCTTCCTTGCTTTCAAAGGCTTATGTTTTTATGTATCACAATCAGGTCTCGGGTGGTCTTTTCCTTGCGATGTGTACTCATTAGGTTGTATCCTGGTTGAGTTTTACACTGGGATGGCGCTCTTCCAGACACACGACAACCTTGAGCACCTTGCAATGATGGAGATGGTCATGGGCAAAATGCCCGAACGATTCGCTCGTGCTGGGGCAAGGTCGAAACCTGAGTTTTTCAAAGAAGGCTGTAAATTGGATTGGCCTAAACCGAAAGCTTCAAGACAGAGTAAGAAGGACGTTCGTGCTACTAGACCTCTAAACGTAAGCCTTCTGCTCCAATCTCTTGTTTTCTGTTATTCAAGATCGTGTAGCACATTATACCACCCACCGATCTTATCAATCAACATTTTTTGGATCTCGTCCAGAAGCTTCTAGCGTTCGACCCGACACACAGGATCACAGTCGCGGAAGCTCTCAAGCACCCGTATTTCTCGTTGAATATTTCCGCTGAGATATAACTCTATTATCGTCATGTTTTGTGTTATTACCCTCCATTCCCCTCGGTTATCTTTGGACACCCCCTGCTCTTGTATGCGTGTATTACAAATCATCACTATGGCCGTCTGTGTCGTCATGAACGCTCTCTGATGCAAAGGACGACATACTTGGTCCTGTCTCGCCAATATTGGCGTCGATCTGTCTACACGGAGTCGTGCATTTAGCATCTCAGTCCAGTGAATGGTTCTACCAGCTCGGGGCTGAATAGAGAGATCAGGCGATTACCAAGGGAGGCCGCCCATCTCAAGCAGCTCTGGCAGCATCTGGGCCTTGTCTCGCGAGGTCATTAGTTATCACAACACGCATATCTCGCCAGGCTTAATGTAACGCATCGTTTTCATATATCTATAGCATCTTCTTGCGGTACTGCATCAAACATTCACTGTACTAATTATCTAAATCCATTGACTTCACACCGGTACCTTCTACACTTGCAGTTTTCACATTTCAGAGACCCATAATTATTATACTGCAATATTTCGGATCCAATCTTTATTCTTCATTGCTTATGTCGAGACTCGTGCTTATGTATTTCTTCGGTACTCATAGATAGTAGTGTATAGTGCAATTGAAGTTCAAAACATGCAATGTAGTTTGTAACCAGTGTCGCGTCATGGTGAACATGCTATATAATCAGTTTACAAACTATGCTTCCTAATACTAGTATCTGTCGCCTTGTAACGCTTTCACTGCTGGCGTTATTTGCACCATCTGCATTCGCAACAAATGCGAAAGTCTTGATCTATTCAGCTACAGAAGATTTTCGACACGATTCCATACCTACCGCAATACAAGCTCTCCAGTCCAAGGGACCGTCGTTCGATATTCAGTTCGAAACCACCGAAGACAAGGCTCAATTCACGGACCAGTATCTAGCTCGATACGACGCTCTTCTGTTCTTGGATAACACTGGAGAAGGTGAGTTTCATGATCTTCGACAAAATGATGTTATGCAGCTTGATTAATTGTCGATGTTCTTCTACAGTCCTAGATGATTTAGGCAAAGCTGCTTTACAAAAATATCTAGACTTGGGCGGAAACTTTATAGGCATCCATGCCGCTTCAGATTGTCTGAGAAATACTACTTTTTACGGGCATGAAGTTGGTGGGTGTATTCAGTTGCAGTGTGCACAGACCTGGTCTATATATGTTTAATCAGACTTTCTTTGACTTCCAGGCGCTTTCTTTGACTATCATCCTGCGCTTCAGAATGCCGTATGTACTTGCACATTTGCTTTCATCCACCCCTCAATCTAGTTGCAGACGGTTGACGTTATTGATTCTTCCCATCCTAGTACGAGCATGCTTCCAGCTCAATGGCACGTACAAGACGAGATGTGCGTTACCCTCCGCATTTTCTTTAACCAGACACAACTAATGAATAGTTCAGGTACAACTTTAAGTCTGATCCGAGAACGATTGGTGCCACGATAATCCTCTCTGCGAACGAGTCCAGTTACATTGGCAAGTACATGTCTGTAAAAGCGAAAATCACAATCTATATCTCTTCCATTTTCAGATACAGGGACTCGCCTTAATCAAGGAACTCCTCATCCTACTGGTAGGTAACTCCAAAGATTTCCAACTTATTTATTTTGCCTACTGCTGCGACATTCTAGCTTGGTTCCAGGAGCGCGGCGCCGGTGCAGAGAGCAATGGAACTGCTGGACGTAGCTTTTACACCAGCTTGGGTCATCTGAATGAAACTTGGCAGGTAAATGTTGACAGAAGTATTCTCAATGCGGAAAGCTGATCACCGTTTAGGATGAATTGTTTTTGGCACATGTTTTTGGCGGAATTACATGGACATTACAATCAAACACAACCCTGGCGTTCAACACTTCTGCTGAAGTTGGAAACCCGTCAGTTTCTGTCGATCCTACGAGTAGTTCATCCTCAACAACTGGCACTTCTACCTCGTCGTGAGTTAGGTCCCTTATATTGTTGTCTTGTTCTGAAATACTGTATACAATCTGTATGTAGATCGTCCGCCGTCATTTCTGTGCCGCCAATAGACGTGCTGCCACTGAAATTTATGGTCCTCAGCATTATAGCCGCAACTTTCTTCCCATGGCTTTCATCTTTTTATCTTGGTCGCTTCGTATTAACCGCTTATTTTTGACTTGTTCTCTACCTCGAGGGAAGGAAAGGAAAACCGACATGGCCCGTGCTACATACCTTGCGCCATTATGTATGCCACGGAGGACTCTCGGAAGTTTCTATTTTCACGCGACGTTGCCAATGAGATAATCGTTTCTTTTATTCTACATAGGACGAAGCAAGGGCGTTCCCACCTGTTCTTGGATGAAATCTATTGCTCAGCACAACTGAAATAAAGTTCAGCCTAAAGCAGTCCCCTTGATGAGGTTCACACTGACTGTGTGACCCCATCTATCTATCTATCTGACAACCTATAGAGGGCTTGGTCACCAGACTAAGAACGTTTGCCAGGTGATCAATTTCCATCGAGTCAATGCCTTATTAAAAACGTCGACAAGTCCTATTTCAAAAATTACACGGAAAGTTGCAGAAAATATTGAGAAAATGAGGCTAGGTCCTCTATCTATCTAGTTATCTCGTGCCGTTGAACCTTCATTAACTCGACGCAGTCAACTTTTGCTTCCGCGGGTGGCGGCAGGGAGGCTAAAAGACATGACCTCTGTCGATGAAGACAAAATCCCTGCCCAAGAGCTGTCTCGACGCCAGTTTTTCAGAATCATTTTGCACAGTGAAGGCCAGAAAGCGGTACTCATCCTATGTATTTCGTTAACCTCATTCAGTAGCGCGTCCTAGATTGGTGAAAACCGAGACCAAGACGTCGATCTGCACGTTAGGGGTCTTCTACAGAACGGTACCTCGTTTCAATACAAAAGGACAACTTTTTCCTGCTTTCTTGAAATTCCCATGCCTCTCATCCCCAACATCTTCGTAGGCAAGTGCGCTTTACTCGTCATACATTGGTCGTGATTAATATTCGCATCCGACTGACAGTCAATCTGCCAACCGACGAGGAGCAGTATGTAAGGATTATGACCATCCTGGGAAATACGATGTACATCGTCTCTTTTGTTGCTCTGGCAGCAATCCTGAGCACGAAATTGCTCAATAAAAGAATCAAACGAACCATTACGTGGAATTTCTTCATCGCCAGGTAATCACGTCCGTCACTTATCTTCCGCTATAGACTCACGTTCCTTGAAGTTGGATGTTACATTGTGTCACGTTCTTCCTTTCCATGGGATACCAGATCGGTAACTCGGCCCCTCCCTTTGGTCTTTGTCTGGTGCAAGCAGGGGTAAATGTCTAAAGCACTGACGTATACGTTAACTTACCACAGTTGCGCCTTGCGCTAGATGCTTTACGCCACACCAGCTTAGTGAGTTTGCGTGGGTCCGTGGAAATATGTCGAAAGCTTACTTTGCAATTCCAGCAATGCGTGCGTCAGCTTAGCCTTGCTGCTTCATGTGCGTGCCCCTCCATGGTCTCCGGTTCCTCTCTTATTTTATTCCAGCTTCATTCTATCATTGTTGCTACTGTCCGTGGTATGAACCACTCGTCATCCAAGAGGATGCGAGTCTTAGTATGGATTGTAAGACTCGTTATCAAATTGGTATAGATGGCGGCTTAATCTTCGCTATAGCTCCTCATTTCGCCTCTTGTAGTCTATGTCACAGTTTTGTCAATGACTTTCATCGTCCGTGGTCATTTTGTTCTTGATTTTAAGGTTCATAACCTCATATGACGAAATTTCAGATGGTAGCACAAGACAAGTCGCTATTGCAAAGAGACCAAACATTTTATTTCTGCAACATCAATGATGAAGTTGGGTATGTCATATTTCTCAATGTTCTCCATCCATCTCATGCACCCTAGGATTTGGACTTCCTCCATCATAGTGTTCCTTTGTGCACTAGCATTTATAACCTATGAAAGTATGATTTCTTCATCGACTCATGGAAGCGCGCACTCACCGTCTACCAAGTTTACACCATTGTCATTTTGTGGAAAAATAGTCAAACATTCCGTGCCATGAATCCTCATTCTCGCGATCGCATCTTTAGATCAATAGTAATCCGCATCGGCGTGTTCACAGTCTTTCCCGTCATCGCTCTTTTGTGAGTAATTGCGCGTTCTTAGAGCACGGCTTGCTTACATCAATTGACTCGTAGTCTCTCCGTTATCCTGTCTTTCAGCGCTGCAGACAGTTGGACACCGTCCTCCGGCATGAGGATCAACGTCGTTGATGCTTCTCGTAAGGTTTGAACTCATCTTCACCTACACCCAACTGAAAGATTTCCACTCAGTACCTCTCGCTTGTGCTCTTATATTTGGCTCACAAGAGGTGCTCATAGTGTGTTCTACTCGTCTCTGAAAACTGACGCTTTTTGTGTAGGACCTGCTGAACGTGTGGATGTTTTGGAGAGAGTCTTCTCCGTATCGTTCAACTCAACACAGCCAGACACATTCTAGCGGCCCTGAGCACTTAAGGACGGGTGGTCGCAGTCGCATCCTATTAGATCCTGTTGTCCCGAGGGTGGGGGTCAAGGTCTCTACCACCCGAATCCAGGACAGGGATGATGGGTGGGCATCAAAATCACCCGTCGAATCAGACATCGAGCTTCACAAGGATGTGAAAGTAGAATTGCTATAATAAAACAACTATGTGCATACTTAAGTCTAGCATTTGCACGATCGTGTTTGTGATGTCTACATAGATACCCAAGTTTCTACTTTGCGTAAAAAGGTCACTGGATCACCATCTAACCCAACATCCGTCTTTGGAAGGTCTGGGATAGAACACTTTTTTGCCTTCTCGATTCGTACACCTTCCCATCTGCTCCACTCTGGCCCTCCTTCCCCCTCCTATTCTTGCCACAATTCCTCTCCCTTGACTTTTGCTCGCTAACTGATAAGATCAACGGTTTGCCCTAACTTCAATTTCTACCCTCGAGACTTCGTGCCAACCAAATGCTGCGATTTACATAAATCTTTTACTCCCTTAAAAATCCAAAGCCATATTTCAAAATAGCAATAAATCGCAGATCGAATCGTTCACAGTACAAAGAAAGACCGAATCCCCATTATGAATTGACATTTCTACTAGGAGTCCACTGCTAGAATACTATCATACAAAATACGAGAAAAATGTATGAATGCTGGTACTCTACACAAGCTTCGCAAGTGAGATTGCGTTCTTTCCGACATCAACACTGAAATAGGCGTTTTTCAAAAACACGTCGCCGACAAGCCACTCAGTGGCAGCGCCAATTTCACCAGAACTGATACCAGATATACAGTCACCGGTGGGATCGTTAGCGTCGACAGGTTGGAAGGCAATGTCACGGGGATCGATGGCAAATGCAGTATTACCGAATGAGAGGGCAACACTGGCGTTGGTTGTGCAAGGCACCGTGAACCCACCTTGTCCATCGCTGGCGGAACCCTGGATGAGTTGGTGAACAGCAGTAGCATCCGCAGGAGGTGCAACGATGAGAGTGGTTCCGGTATCAAGAATAGCAGTACGACCAGTGAGTTGGGTGTCAGTTCCATCAACAGTGACACTATCCATAGCTCCTTCCCAGAAACCATCTGCGTTGACATTGTCGAACGTAGTCAATGTGCTAGAATCAAACTTCGTGGCATCCAGACCGCTATTAAAACGTCAGTTGGCACCTATTTTTGTACAAAGGGCCATACCCGAAAGTTATTTCTCCGTCATTTAAATCGTCTGCCTCTCGAGAAATCTTGAAGGAAGTGATTGCATCGGATATCAAGCCAGCAGAAGCAAGACTTTCGGGAGGAGTAGGAACTCCCTGCTCTGAAAGGGACTAAAGGACGGATCGTTTGAGGAGTAAACTATCAAGGGTAATCGAGAAGACATACCGACTGCGCAAGCCCCATCAAGCCATCGAATGGAACTGAGTTATCGGCAAAGTCGTCTGACTCTGAATCAGCAACACCGAACTGGTGACCGGTCAAGTTCAGCCCAGCAACGGCAATATTGTCTGTGATGATTGTTCCAGCAACATTACCAGTACCGTACGTAACGGCGAACTGTTTTCCAGAGTCCTGGAATGTGCTTGAAGACGCGGTACCGAGGAAAGTATGAGATCCCTGCAAGGAAATGAGAATGGTAAACATTGACTACATATAGCAAGACCTACACATCCTCCTCCCGCTGTAGACGTGCAGCTTTCCGATCCGACCCATAAATCAGCAGAACCAGAATCCATGAGGATCAAAAAGTCCTGGGGAGGAGTACCCATTTGAATGGTAGCAAGGTATCCAACATCCTGACCCCTGGAAAGAAATCTTAGCACGAGCCGCAAAACTAGGTTTGAAACGAACGCACTCAATATTGAGACCAAGGGAGTTGCTAGCAGTAGGTGCATTAGCAGCCTCGACACCGCTGGGAACCCCATTAGCTTCAATTTCAGAGCCAGTACCAGCAGTGCCGTTGTCACCAGTGGCGGTAGCTGCAGACGCAGTTTGGCTACAGGGAAATCAAATAGAATCGTGACTTATTAAGAACAGTAGATGAATATACATACCCTCCCGCATTGCCACCCTTCTTCTTCTTGAGCTGAAGCGAACGAGAGGTATGAGCCGCACCGGCAAGACCAATACGGTTGGTAGATCTAGCGTTCTTTTTGACCCCTTGTCGGTTAAAACGTTTGCTCAGAGGATCCTCTTCAAGGGCTAGCATACGACGCTCAATGTTCTGCCTGAGCTGGTGATCAGAGGGCACTTCGCGTCCCTTCATGCGTGCAAGACGCTTATGGGCTCGGTTGATGTGTTGCTGAAGATACTGCGCATATTTAATTAATACGGGATCGTGATATGTCAACAATTGATCAAATACACTTACGACGGTAGGGGGAACTCCCTCGGCTCGGGGAACTCTCTTCAAAGGAAGAGTAACCAGCCCGGAATTCCTCCTTGTAGGACGAGCAACCGCATCCTGTACAGTACTGAGTGCAAACAGTACGCCTGCCAGAAGCGTGGCAAATGAAAGTTGGAGTTGCATGACGAAAGAAACCTTGAGTGACGAGAGAAATGAAGAAAATGGAAAGATCAAAGGAAAGTAGGAGAGCAAGCAAGCAAGGAGGGCCCGGCCTCGCTAGTAGTGGAAGGAAGAGAAAAAAGAAATGGGGGGATCGGAGGGGAAAAGGAAGGTAAGTAACCAAGCACAATTGGCCCTTTATAAAGGAACTCGTGCCATCATCCGAGGATCGGAGATATATCCACGTGCGCCTTGCCGTTCTTTCTTCTCTTACCCATGGGTCCATCGGCTCAGAGGTGATAAGTAACCCTTAGGCTACCAGGGCATTCCGCAGCATTTAGTCTACTTCCTTGAGGCACCCTTGACATTGCCTAATTATTCCACCTTCTTGCTGTCTGCGAACTACTTCACCGGCGAAATAAAGGGAAGTAGGTTTGTTGGGAAGACAACCACCACAAAATTCAAAAGCGATGATGATGATCAAGATGGTTTCCTGAGTCTGAGCCTCTGTTGTCCTTTCTATCTGGGTAGGTAGCAATTACACTGCTGATGATTTGCGTTCCATTGTACAGGTCCAAAGATACAACGAATGCAGCTTTCCATCTCTTACCATACTTAGTTAGGAAGCCCCTTCAGTTTTCAAAGATGGAATCTATGTATAGCATTGGCATTTCCAGTCATGCTGCTTATGGACTAAAATTATCATTGAACTTCATGCCCCCAACAACCAGCTCAATGATCAGCCTTAGCAACCCCATCAGACAAATGTTAATGCAGTTTGGGTAATCCTGAGTGTTCATAGGCTGATGAAGATCCAGGAAGTGTAGTATTGACAGGGTCGTTGTGATACTATTGTGATTGCAGAGAGAATATCAATATAAGTACAACTTACACGTACTTATGGCCATGTAAAATAACGACAATCACAGTCTCGCTTTAGCAGCGGCATCATCATGCAGAGGATTGCGAGGCCTTGCATCCTTGTGGATTGTTTCCAAGACATCACGATAGAGTTCGGACTGTCGTTGTTTATGCTGGTTAGTGTCAAACATGATTGAATAGGATAAATTCGGTTCGACCTTAATTGATCCCCACACACCTCCCTGCGCATTTCCAGACCACTGATCACCCAATTGTTCTGCCCGAGCCAGGACCGCAGCTGTGTTCCCATTGACTACATAGTCAACGATACCTACCTCAAGCGCCTCTTGAGGGGTGAAGCGATGACCCTCTAACGCCATCTTCCTTTTCAGTGGGTCATTTCCGAACTTGGAACGAACAATCCCAGCAAAAGAGATAGGCCACGGTGCACCAAAATGCACCTGCCATTATTCAATAACAGGTATTCGAATAATTAGATGATACCAACCTCGTTCATGGATAACCATGCTCGTCGCGAGCTCCCATCTGTCATGACGCGATAATCACAGGCCATGGAAAGCATGAAGCCACCTGCGAAGCAATGCCCGTTGATGGCTGCTATGGTTGGGACTGAATGATGTTGAGTGTTAGTCATAGGTAAGAAATCCCACTTTGGATTGATATGGCACTTACTCGGGAAGGTCAAGATCCTCTCAAGAAGAGGATCAAAGGTTACTATTCGACATACGCTAATATCAGACTCATAACCTAGTACTACATATAGAAGCAGGACTGACGTTGGAAAAAATTAGGATCCTTTTGCGAATTAGCAAAATCTAGGCCTGCAATCGGGTAAATTGTGAGTAACAGGATACGCAAGTAAGGAATGGACCACGACATACCGTTACTGAAGAACTTATCTTGGTCCCGTCGACCGACTATTATCAACGCGCCTTTCCCTTCTCCCTTGTTCGCCTTCTGGTCCTTCATATGGATTCTCCAACTCTCTCGCCATTCTTTCTCGACAGCGTCCAGAGCAGGCTTCAGGCCTTCATTAATGAGTTCATGTGTCAGACGCGAATCTTGGCCATTATGAAGTTCAATGATCCAAAGCGAATTTTTAGCTACATCAACCAGGTTAGTGGTTCTCAATGAATCACAAAGCACAGCTACGCACGGTGGGTTAAAGTAATGAGGGGATTCCCAGCAGGCAACGCCAAAGGATACGCAGTCATTGTAAGTAGCAAGAATGGCTTCGGTGCTCGGAGGATTCCCGACCCGACCTTTGCGCGGGTCGAACCCGGGTTTCTCATGTGATTAATTTGAAGCCGTTATTGATTACCTTGGATATGTGTATTCTTGGATGCATTGGATGAATATGTACACAGAGAAGACGCAGGAGAAATCGTCGTGTTGTTGTACATGTACATGTGTATTATAGATATAGGTACCGTTCAGTGACAAAGTGAAGTGCCGCTACTTCCCGGCAAAATCCGGCAGAGAAATACCAACCGCCACCACCATGGCCATAGACGAAGAGCAAAGAGCAGCTATCAAAGGTGATTTTTCCCTTTGCTCTTCATCCATGCTCTGTGATTAATGCTACAATTCAGCCAAATTGCAGGCTCGCGACGATCACATCCGCGAATCATGGGTCCGAGCAATGGAGGCACGTCTTGTCCGTGAAGAGTTGGAAAAATGTCAAAGGACGGAAGGTGTCAATGGGTTTGAGAACTGCAAGTGGTTGTCGGAAAAGTTATTAGAAAAACTCAACGATTCCAGAGTGCGTTTCGGGATTCTTGTCATTCCTGCTTTCTCCGTTCAATGTTCTTCATTGTACAGGTCAAGGGTTACAAGCATATAGATGTATGACCTACCGTGTAAATGTTGCTAGGGCTAGGATTTCTGGAATAATTTGTCTATCGTACGCGTGTGTGGCGATAAGTGAGGCGTTATATTCAACGTTCAAAACTCCATCCCTGTTACAGATTGCTTCAACTTTCCACATCATCTTCCTCTAGAACCTAAATACGATAAGCCAAAGAAAGTATTTGTTTGCACTAGGTAGAATAGGTCATCATGTTATGCAAGATAGTGGCAATTAATGATACTTGGGGATTAGTATTGCTTAGACGAACAATAAGGTTTAGTATAATATGAACAACCAAGATGAGTGGAGGTATAGCTAACAAAAATGGGAACGAGTGGGGGTAAGATCAAAGCAAGGAGCGACAACATTGTGTAAAGCCAAGAACGGGGAATCACTGATCACTGCTGACGACATTCGGGTTCTGCTGGGCCGCCCATATAGTCATCAAACATGTCGCCTGCACCTTCGTCGTCATCATCTTCATCTTCCCAGCCGTCTTCATCATGTATATCATCGCGCTGGTTTGCATAACCATGATCAAAGAAGTCCTGACTAGCCGGAAAAGATTGCGAACGCACGTCGATCTCCTCGAAATTGACTTCGTCTACAATCTCCGGTTGGGGCTGCATTTCAGGCTTTTTTGGTGGAAGGAGTTTCGCAAGAGCCTGTTGATTAACGAATGTAAGGAATTATTCAAGGAAAGGATGAAACTCTGTAAAATTACCTGATGATCCACCGACCGAAGCCAGCCTTCGGTCGGCATCTCAATATCGAAGAGGACAAAGAGGTCCCCTTTACTATCCGGCCGTTTATAAGTGGGCATTCCTTCCCCTCGGATCACGATGCTTGCATCAGGTTGTAAAATTTTGCCCGGTGGTGAAGTGACTTTAATGCCACGACCGTCGAGGTGCGTGAGCAGAATTCTGGAAAATCCCAAAAGTGCTTCAGACAGAGTGATCTTGACTTTAACCAATAGATCGTTGCCGTTTCTTTCGAAAGAATTGTGGGGAAGGACTTTTAGGACGAACACCACGTCGCCGGCAGAAACACCAGGCTACAGTGTGTTAGTCTCATTATCTGGAGCGCAACTGTGAGTGAGACTATGTACCTCTTCGTCACCGGCGCCTGCTAGGACGATCCTTTGTTGGTCCGCCATGCCTTTCTCGATGAACATCTCTTGTCGCGTCTTCTCTTTAACAGTACCAGAGCCCTTGCATTTTTTGCATCTAAGCTAATGATTTTAGAATCAGTCATGGAGAGGGATCACACCTTACCTGTCCTTTTCTCGCAACTTCTCACCCTTTCCATGACAGTCTTCACACTGCTGGGGCGAAACCGCCATTTGCCCGCCCGCCAACTACGCCATTGTAAGGTTGACAGTGATGAAAGTAGCATATGGTTCAAACCTGGGTCTTAATGTAGACGCGTCCGCTTCCTTCGCACGTCGAGCATTGTTTGGGCTTTGCATGTCCCTTGGCACCAGACCTAGTTTATCCAACTATGAGCTTAAGTTCAGATCGTGACCAGAAAACGCACCCCTTGCATGAGCTGCATAACACCTGCTTTTCCATGTTCATCTTCACCGTCTTGCCGTTATACAGATCCTCTAGTGTCACTTCATGTGGCAGAACAGAATCATTTTGTCGGCTAAATCTTGAAGGCCCGGGGCCCATGTCGAATCCGAATGAGAATCCGCTGCCACCACCAGTGAAAAATTGAGTGAACAAATCATCCATATTAGGACCGCCCGAGCGACCGCCTTGTAAACCTTCCATCCCACCCTCATCATACAGAACCCTGGTATTCGGATCGCTCAAAATCTCATAGCTGCAAAAGTTCACGAGATATGGTTAGTAAAATGCCCATGCGAGAAGATTGAGCAATACGAACGCGGCAGCCATTTCTTGAAACTTTGTCGCGGCATCTGGATCATTTCTGTTCTGAAAGTCGAGGGTGAGCTTCGGTACGACGACCATCTAGTTCTGAATTTCCGGTTATACCTTGTCCTGAAAGTAATAGGCGCTTGAGTATTAAGCCAAGATTGAGTCGTTTTACATACTGGGTGTATATCGCGGGCCTAGAAGATCTGAGAGAAAATCACGTTGATATTTACGGTAGTCTCGTACCTTTTTCCTGTATGCTTTCTTGATCTCGTCTGCGAAGAAGACGTTTGTAAAAGCATAAAGAGTAAAAACAATATACCTTCACTAGCGCTAGGAGATACACCGAGCAACTCGTACAATTCTGTTTCAACAGCCACTGTCAAGTCGTGAGAGTTGAACAAAGACAAAGATCCCAAGACGCACTGAAAGTTTGCTTGTGGAGAAGTGGAGGTCCTGTCTCAACGAGCCAGACGCGTTGCCGAGGACTTCTGGCATGTGGGAAACAAAGAGCACCGGGCCGGAAGTTTTGGGCGCATAAAAATTCCCAATAATTTTTTTTTTCCGAACTTCCACAAGATTCAACGTTCAACTACCACGACAAAAGGCAAGGGTAAGTAAGTCTTTCGTTCGGTTTCATCTCTTATGATGCTTTCATTTTATCTACATTGTCCGATTCGTGACGACGAAAATACCTCTGAAGCTCTCTCCCATGTCAAACACAAAAATGCTCACATTTATCTTGCGTTAGGTTCCCCCACTGTTTCCCGGTTACTTCGTCTTTTGACATTACCAGTACCTCAATTTCTTATCAGCAATCTTCCATAGTCCTCTGCCATCATCATCATCATTCATCTATTTGCATTGTAACCAATATCCTAGAATGTTATCATGAATTTCTATTTTACTGCCGCTGAGGTCCTCGACCGCCTCGATTCCAAGAAGGGCTCGATTAAAGGTCTTATTTCAACTGTTGCTGAGAAGGACAGGAAGCGGACATCGGCTCTTGTGATTCAGACTTTGAAATGTGAGGAGTATCTATCAACACGTAGCTGTCATGATTCGTTAAACTTGCATCGTAGACAAGCCTGTGCTAGCAGATATAATCGGCAGAGCCAAATTAATGATAGAGGAGCGCAAAAAGCTCACCTCCTCAAATTTGGCTCTTGTACTAGTCCACGACGTCCTCTTCTCAAATGGGATTCAAGCTGGAGACGGCCCCATCAAGCAGGCAGTCCTTCGCCATAAGACGAGGCTTCACAGTGAGCTTCAGAAGGTTAAGATAAAACGAGCAGTCAAGTCCAATGAAGAACTTGTTCAAACTGGTGATAGTAGGGCAGGTGAGCCATGACTTCAAAATACTCATTCGAACGTCTTACTGATCGACCTCATTTAGCGTTGATCCCTCGATACGTTCGCATTAATACCACGTTGTGGACGATTGAAGAGGCCATTCAATATTTCATATCGAAAGGCTTTACGTTGGAGAATATGCTTGAGATTGCATCGTGAGACCACTGCTTCGTTCCTCAATATCCTCCTCACCTCTCGTGATAGAACGTCTAAACATATTTTTGCAAAAGACAAACACATCTCTGCCCTGTTTTTATTCCATCCCGAACTATCTTTCCAAGACGATGATGCATACAAAAATGGGAAGGTGATTTTACAGGACAAAGCGTCGTGCTTTCCTGCTGTTGTCCTTAATCCCCCCGTTTCTCCGAGTGGTGCAGTGATAGATGCTACCTCTGCCCCTGGCAACAAGACATCGCACCTGAGTACACTTATGTGTAATACAGGAACGGTATGTGTATGTGGCGGAATGCCAGACTCATGCTCAATCAATGATGTGTAGCTCTTTGCCTTTGAAAGAGATCGTAAACGATTCTCGACCTTACAAGCAATGCTATCGAAGGCTAGATGTAAAAATGTAGAACCTGTGAATACCGATTTCCTGTTGGTGGATCCCATGGATCCTAAGTATTCCGGAGTTACACATATGTAAGACCTTTTATTTACACTGTTTCCATCGCGTCCGATAAGGTTATCCCTTTAGTCTTCTGGATCCATCTTGTAGCGGGTCAGGAATCGTTAACCGTCTGGATTATCTTGTGGAGTCTGGTATGCTTATCTATTTTGAAATCGTTGCTCTTATCGACTCCTCATGCAGAACAAGAAGCTGAGTCGGTGCAAGTAGACCGTCTAAACAAGCTAGCTAGCTTTCAGTTGATGATGGTCAAACACTCAATGAAATGTCAGTAATTTGGTTCAATTCTCAAAACGCATCGCTCACTGACTCTTAAACAGTTCCAGCTGTGCAACGAATTGTTTACAGCACATGTTCCGTCCATGCTATTGAAGACGAACATGTCGTTCGTGCAGCCCTCAAATCTGACGAGGCCCTCTCTAGACATTTTGAACTTGCGCCTCAAAGCCAAGTTCTACCGCAGTGGAAGCGCCGTGGGTACTCTAACGAGATGGATGATCCCCGTGCGTTCAAATACTGATTTATTTTGTCGCGTTGCCTGACAAGAGTCACAGACCACGCAGCATCACTTGTGCGCTGTTTACCTGGTGAAGATGCTACAAATGGTTTTTTTGTGTCGTGTTTCGTCCGAAGCTCTGTCATCCGAGAAGAGAGTGACAAAGCTCCTCTGGACAAGAAACGAAAAGTTGACCAAATCATCGAGGAGCAGGAAGACGTTGCTCCTAATACTAGGAAGCGTCAACAGCGTCAACAGAAGAGAAAGAGGAAGAAAACTGTGAACGGAGGAGGTTCTGTTTAATGGTGCTCCTGATCACAATGGCCTTGTCATGCATTGTAAGTCCTTCGCTGATCAAAATTACATGACTAATCACACTCTAGTACTAGTAGGCTTCAGTAGACAGAATGACTTTCTCTTCGTCCGACGATCACTGTGACAATGGGAAAGTTCCCTCCAAAACTTTAAGACCCTCTGAGGCCGAACTGACAAGCAGTGACAGCGTAACTTTTTCTGCATCATTGTCACGTTTACCTCCTCTTACCTCCCGCCTTCTCTTGAGGCTTACATATACTATAGCTTAGACACCGACGGATCTCCATCTGCTAATGTTCGGTAGAATGGCCTCCGACATACATATACCAGCATATACCATGTAACATGTTGTCCTGTGGCGCAGGATCGGAGAAGATCGGAGAGGATCCTGATAATAATTCGGGCATGAAGCTGCATGAGGGTACATGCCACATTATGTATCACATCCTGTAGTTCGCAACAGCTCGTCATACCTTTGAAGAAGGTATCGGCATGAGTACCTTGGTTCGTTGGAACAACTACACCCAAACGTACGTTGTAAGTAAAATTTCGAAGAGTATCTTCATCGATATCTGATTGTCCGATGACAAACTGCATTGCAGCTTTCTACCTTCTAGATGGGTTTAATGAACTGTAAGTCCAAATAGTCTGCACGCACGTGAGGTTCGGGGGAGGAGGGATTTTGGAAGACCTTAGACTGTACCTAGGCTTGAGCCGGCCGTGATGAATGACCTCTGTGGTGACAGTGCAGCGAGGCAAAATTTAGTAAGTCAAGCACCATTGGGCCTAAGCACTAAGCCCTTGAGGTGGGATGAGAGCTGATGGAAGTTTCGTCAAAGGGACATACTGAGCCTGACAATGGTCTAGTATAGCGGTACTTCAATGTAGTAGTAAGTACCGGGAGGCAGCGGGAGGCTCTCAGTAGCTTACTGGAAGTAGTTCGCAGGGACGTGCAATTCTTGCCTTCTGTACATCCGATGCAGTACGATCCCCAAATCAGACCATGTGCGAGTTTAATCTTCTAAACTTTCGATGATGATCTGGCCTAATCTCGATATGATGAAGTTAACTGCGGTTAGCTGTTGCACAGTGGTCAAGCAGACTGGCCATGTTGAGTTTTCTTCGAATTCTTAACGGCAGTTGGTCAGACTTAGTCCTACTTGTACTCCCTGAAGGTACTTGATCATCCTTCCCTTGTGATTTCTGTTGGATATACAGGAACGAGTGTGAGTTACCGGAGTTACCGGGGGTAAAATGTTTTTGATTGTACGACTAGACCACGTTCTACGATGTTGCGGATTCCGAATGAGGCACGTCAGTCGACCGCTCACCTCCGATCCTTAGAGATTTGTGCGCAATCGTACTGCAAGCAAACACTCTTCTTTTGTGACTTACTTGTAGGGCAAGTAAACAAATGTTTTTCAGTGTTTTTCAGACATTTTTTCCGGAAAACTTTTCAACCGTCCAGATGAAAAATCCCTGAAAATCCATGTACACTGCTGGACAGAATTCGACGATTTTCTTATGGATGCGCCCTCTCAAGAATTTTGAATAAATTCTTAAGAAATTCCTGAGATAGAGGAGCGCCCAAACGTGTAGAAATTCTCAAAAGCAACAATTCTCAAGAATCACGAAGAGACTCTTAAGAATATCTTCTAGTTTTTGAATATACCTCGCGCGCGCATGTCACGGAATCCCGGAACCCGGTATAATAATGATATCAGACCACTTTTATTTTCGGAAAATTTTGCTCGTAAAATGTACCTACAGTACTACATGCCATGTTTACTATGCATACTGTTATTAGGAGTATAGTCAAATTATTACAAATCTTAATGGGCAAGATCTTGACTCTTGAACTGAGTTGAATATTGACTCTTGAAGTTTGAGGCTCGGGGGCAAAGGTTGAGGCAGCTTTGAATTTGACGACGTTGAGTCCAAGTCACTTGTTGGTGAATCACAAAATATTGGCACCAGTTGTGTGTGTGTGATCAAGGCCTGTTGCAGCATGTTGACATCAAGAGCTTGAAAGATATTGAGGACTGAAAGTGTGCACGTTCGCTCAAAGTCAAGCTGGTGGAAGTTGGGAAGAAAGGAAGACCAGCACAAAACTGCCAGCGCAAGGTTGTGTAATCACCGTCACTGCGTCAGCTGACAGGAAATGCGACTCGGGACATTTCATGAGAGTGGCTAGTCAATATTCCTAAGAGTTTTGGGTTTTGTCATGATGTCTCTCAATAATTTCTCAAGAATCAAGGATAGTATATAATTTTCGGCAATATTCTCAAGATTTGCACTCTTATAGATTTTGAAAACTCGATTCTGACAAATTGCTCAAAGTTTGGTGCAGCAGTGTATGTATCAGGATCTTCCTAGATCTCTTGTCAGGGCTGACAGGAACTTGGCGGACCGCGATCTGCCACTATGCGGCTCATAGCGGATCTAGCCCGTCGTGCGTACCTGCAGGAAAGGATGACCGACACGGTGAAAATTCGAGCTGGGACAGCGGGAAACATATTGATGTGAGCGAATAAAGCCTCCACTGGCATTATTACTGCAATATTTGATGATTCCCAACTAACCAAGAACTTTCAACAACCACTAGGATGTTTAGGGGAAATTAGTGGGAATCCGGCGCGCGCACAGATTGCGCACAGATGATCGGTTCGATCGTATTACCTAAAATAGGAAGCAGAATTTTAAGCCGAAAGAATTTTCAGCCACCGAAATTCGGCCATTTATAGCCCTTTATGTTCTTCTATACCAAGGCAACATAAACGACCGCCTTTGGGCTTCCTGTAATTATCGTCCGCCGCAACTTGCCTCTTAACCCCCATGTCCTCTAAACGCGGCCGTAAAAGAAATGATAATCTTCCCCCTAATCGTGCTAGAGATGTCCAACGGGCTTTCCGTGCACGACGCGCTGCTCATCTTCAGGTTTGTAATTTTCTGTTGATCTATGTGAAATACATGAAATGCAATTATTCCAAAACTTCTCGTTAATTTCAACATTCACAGGCTCTAGAGCAAAGGGTCTCCGAACTTGAAGAAGAAAACAGCTGCCTTCGACAAGCTCTCAACCTTCCACCTGCTAATCGTCCAACGCTTGGCAAAGGTCCCACAGGCAAAGACAAACCCAAAGCATATAATCCTCATAGTCTGGCCACTATGTCCATGCATTCCCGAGACTTTTCGGACTCTCCACCCTCCACTCGTATGAGCTCTCATTCCCCAGAGAGCGCAATAGTCAGGCTCGATGATCCTGCCTGGGATCAGACAATCGTTATGAGCGACACTCAATCCGATCTTCCAAACTCATCGGCCTCTTCATCCTACCCTTTGCCTCCTATGTCCGCCCCGCCATCTTCAAAATCTATGCAATATAATCCATATCCGTCTACCTCCAGGAGTTCGTCTGGATCCGGATCCGCTTACATGAACTCTCAGTCCAACTATTCTCAATCTGGGGACAGATCCTTGAATAACATCAATTATTCAATTCCCCTTGTGCGCCTCGATGTTCGGGAGGAGCCCCGTACACATTATCCGTACTCCCCTTCGCCATATGACAGCAACGTGCAAAACACACCCCCACCTTCGGCGCCACCCCATTTACATTCTCAGCGCGACTCTTCCATCTCTTACTCTATCCGACGTCCCATAATTGAGCCATATACCCTTGAATCAGGGTTCCCTCAACTTCCTCATCATGTCTCACATCACGGCATGCATGTTTCTTCACCTTCTCCACGGTTGCAGGAAAACGGTGTAGGTCCTGAGTTGCCTGCCCCACGACACATATATAATACTACGCCCGAAGCCATCAATCGCACACCGTCGATGTCCTGAAAACGCAATTAATGCCACCATCCTGGAGACACCTGTCTTTTCACACATTTAATTCCAACGAACTCCTTGGGCCTTTTCGGACTCTTTGTTGTATTGTTATTCCTATAATCGTACATGTAATGTAATTCTCGTCCTACCTACCGTAAACATGTACCATTTAAACCGTATGATATCGACCTCACATACTTACCATACACTAAGCTCGTTAACACAACACATAGTCATCTCTGCTTCCACTCAGCCTTGAGGCATCCTCCGGCAAAAAGTGAAACTCCTTTCTGTCTGTTCGAGACTTCAAGTTGAAGCAACGATGAGGCTGTATCGCTGAGATATCGATAAAAATCGCGGATGCGTGTCACCCCGCATCGCATCCGGGAAGATCCCGAACAACCCGAGCTGAGAAACAAGAATGACAAGTCGATAATTATTTTGAGGACCCGACATAATTCCCCCCAAAATGAAAAATTAGCCAGTATCTACAGTATTCACGCAAGTGGCGTAAACCATGAGTGGAACTCAATTTACAGGGAGACATTATGTATTATGTGGTGCGAGGAGACGCACCAGCAGACAGCATACAATTATATACAATATGTTTTCACGTTGACCTTTTGGCTCTTCCAGATTCAAGCATCGAAACGACACCAGTCGACGGGACCTTCCGGCCCATATTTCTCTTCCAACCAACTATTAGCAGCCTTGAAATGGCCATTGCCCAAAAATCCGCGATGCGCTGATTTTGGCGAAGGATGCTGGGTTATAGTATATCAGTGTTCAGGACCATTTACCATAAAAGAAATAATATAACTCACAGAGCTTTTCAAGATCAGATGCTTGTCCTATTGACAAAAAGAGGGGCGGTACAAAGGACGGTTTGACAATGACATACGGGAAAAGAGGGTGAAATGGCCAACCTTGTTCAAACGGGCTACTCGTTTTTCTGCGAAAGCTCCCCAAGCAAGGAAGACAACTCCACGGCCGACCCCACTTGCCTCTCCAGACGAGCCAATTTTAATTGATGCACCGCCCCATCTATCCACCACATCAATGACCTTGTCTGTAAATCGTTCCCAACCCTTATCTGAGTGAGAATTGGGTTTCCGCGCTTCGACTGTCAGAGATGAGTTGAGCATAAGCACTCCAGCGGAGGCCCATGAGGCCAGATTTCTAAAGGGGTCATTAAGAATAGCGCGCTTGCTTGCATCAAGAGATGATTAACATACTCACCCATGTTTAGGTGGTTCGAATTCCGGATACTCGTTCTTTATTTCTGCATAGATCTTTAAAGAGAAATGAGCCAATATCGGGAATGGCATTACAAACTGAGTATTGTTCGACTATCAGCTTACTCACGTTAATTAAAGATGGAGGTATTGGGACTCCCAAACGAACAGAGAAGCAAAGGCCTGTGTAAATGTATAGTTCAGCTTGACACATACGGTCACATTATCAGAGGGATTTACCATGCGCTTGATTGGGGCCTGGATATGGATCTTGTCCTATTATCACAACTTTGACTTTACCCAGCGGTGTTTCTGACCACGAGTAGATATCTTTGGCTACAGCTAACCTAAGTAATCGAGGCGTCTATAAATATTGTGGACTTACGAGAAGGATATACTTTTAATGGTTGAGGTGAATACTGGGGTTCTCGAACACCTTGATCCCAAAGGAAACGTTTGAGAGCAATGAAATAAGGCTGTTTGATTTCATCTTTCAGAACTTTTAACCTGATAGCATGTCGAGAGTTATATCAACTGAAGATTTGGGCATTATATGATTATCGTACCAGCTCTTTCCCATGACGGCGCATTCAAGGCGAAGAAGCCTAGCTTGCTCTTCATTTAAAGAGTCTTGGAAAGCTTTCAAGGAGAATGGGATAGAGTTGAGCTTTTGGATTCCAAATACAGATGCACTAGAGCGCGAAGGACTGGATGACTCCACAGACGAAGATACAGAAGTCTTAAGCCGTTTTGAGTTAGGCTGAGAGTTTGAAGTTGAGAACATATCCACAAGCGTCCGCTGACGCTTCACCGCAGTTGCGGCAGGTTTTGACGCGGTCACTTGAATCGCGACCTCGGTTTTGTCGACAGCAACAGACCTGGACACCGCTACATTTGAACGACGGTCAACGTCTTCGAAATATACCACTTCCTCTTCCGTCGACATTCTGAAAGCAGAAAAGCAAAGAAATAAGGAGCTAATCCGCTTCAAGTCCACTCTCAATGGAAAGGCTAATAGTAAGTATGAAGCCTGTGACTTATTTGAATTTCGTGGCGTGAGAGGGCGTCACGCGCTGTCACACACACAAGTCACTGTCAGAGCTCGTACACGTTACGTTATACCTCTTGGAAGTACACACTTAAAGCCTTTTAAAAGCATAACTGTCTCTTTCCTATTTCAAACTGCCACGCTCACGGTCCTCCCCCTCGCCAAAACCTGTCGCAAGGCGGAGCGAAACCAGTCGAAAACAGGTTTTGACTGGGCGCAAAGCCAAACCGACATCCATTAACCTTGCTAAAGACGGAGATAAAACCATAGGATGGAGTACCAGTTATCACGCTGGATCATCTAGGTGTGGCTCTTTTTTTTGCTCGGTTACTAGCACTCAAAGGTCATTGGCCACGAATAGTTCACAGTCTAGGGAAAGTACGGACGATGAGGATACAGACATCGAAAGCCCTCCTGTTCTCCGGGGCAGGAGATATTCTCTGACCTTGGCCCCAGCTAGAAAACGGTCGCCAAATCCTCGACGTCCATCCTCTTCTGTTTCACGCCCTAGAAGAGCCTCTCCAGCAAACTCTTCCAGTGAATCGTCTGCGCCCATATCTGGGCTTTTAAGAGCTCGAGCTCCATTTACGCGTTCAAGATCTCCAGCCGTACCCGTAACCTCTACTGGCATTGTTCACCGCATATCATCTCCCGTGGTATCCTCCTTTCCTCGTCATCGGTCATCTCTGGCGGGATTCATTTATGTATTCCCTGCCGACTTTGAAATTAACGTCTCCATTCCTTTTTCTTCATACTCGTGGAATATGAGTGTGGATGCTCGCAAGGCCGGAGAATCGCTTATCCTTATTGGTTCTTTGGTCTACGCCTCGTCAAAAATATGGGAAGGTACCAATTTTCATTCTCCAAATTTTGATTCTCAGCAGTATAATTTATGGGTGCTTACAGGTTAGTGTCGTTCCCAGCACCCTCAGTCCTCTTGCTGATATTCCTTAGAGCTTCATTGCTTAGTTGGCGCGACAGTTTTGTATGTTCTATGGCTATCAAATTCACTAATAAGTTCGAAAGCGAATCCTTTTACATCTCTTAACGTTGATGCAGCTGCTCCGAGTTTGACCTCAAAACGTCCTTCATCCCCCAGGATCCCCGAGACTCGAGACTCCAATCTCAAAAAGAATGCTCCGCTTCTACTCCGAAAGAGAGCAGATTTTGGTTTTGTATGGATGTCCGTTCCCCGAAATTATAGAGAATCATCCGACGATGGGATTCTCACCGGTCTGCTGTTCGGTCCTCTTGTTTCCTCTGCATTGTTATATTCATCCCTGACTTTACCTTCATCGGCAACGCCGCTGTCGTCCTGGAGAATAGAGACTCCACGCCTTCTCAGTAACGCAAAAGACAGTTACAGCGCCTTAGAGGCACTCGTATTATCTCGCTATAACCTAGTCGATCTGTCAAACCTCTGTTCAACTATCCTACTTTTTCATGTCTGTGCATCATGGTGGTTTGAAAGCAGATACCGAGTTGCTGGTGCTACTCTAGACAGCGAACGAAAATCTGTCCCTCGGAGTGCAGGGAAGCGTCTGAGCTATTTCATCGTTTTCACACTGGGTACTACTATCTGCATGCTTGGCATCAAATTCACTCTTGTGTATTTCTCGTTGGGCATATGGCAGCGTCAGTCGTCGGTCGCAAAGTTTGCCGTTCGGAACTAACTTCCATCTTTAGATCTCAACTGGTTCGAAATTACAGTTGCCTCTCTATTCTACCAGTGTACCCTTTACGGAGTCGTCCGTCTTGCACATCGAGGTTTTACTCTTGGAGAACTTGGAATAGTTAGTTTCGGAGGTACGGCACTATTCATGGAATTCCTGAATGTTACTGCCGCCAGGGTTTGTGTCCCGCGGGTGTCAGTGAGCTTCATGTACTCAATTGACTTTTTTACGTAGATTTGGCCATTAACCACACCTTACATCAAAACCTATCGACTTCCTACTCCCCTCCTTATATTCCAAACCGCATTAATCGCGGGCTCCTTTTTAACTGGTTTCGTTCTATCTCCATTCCTCATCCTGTCTCGACACATTGGTCAGCGACCGGTTAGACGTATGCGATATCCAGAGCTGAAACTTCGCCAGCGACGTTTGTTAGCCCTCGGCTTCTATGTTGGAAGCTTTGTCATGACAATGGGGCTCATTGGAATGTGGACTTACTGGTGTTTGGGCAAGAGGAATCCGTGGTTATGGGTGATATTCTATATTTTAGAAGGTCGTAAGGGATGGAGCAGGCCTGCCCTCTTGATCTACTGGATTGCCTTGGGATCCCTCAGTGTTGCAGGTTGGAATCGACAACTGGCGAGGTCAAGGAGATTCCGCGCTTGGAACACTGCTGGGGAAAATCTCATCGTCCCAGGTAGCGGCGGGGCATTTATGGGACCTCCTTTCGTCGACGGCCTTGTTCCTCAAAGTTCCGGTAACAGTAGCGATACTCAAAACGGAAGTTCAGTTTCCGGTGGATCCGGGAGTACAATGGGGTTGACCTTTCCGAATTTATCAAATTTACCGAACTTGCCGCACTTACCCAACGGTGTTGCGACGGACCTTCTTGATGCTGCCGACAAGCACGTTCCTACGTTGAGGCTGAATGCTAGAAGGAAATTTTTCCATGCTTTAACAGTCATCATGTTTGTTCCAGGAGTAGCTTTTGATGTACGTGCTTTCCCTGGAATTATTGAAGCTTTCAAAGTCCTAACCTTCCAATATTGCTAGCCCGCATTCACTCATCTTTCTTTCAGTGTAGCTTTTGCGTTATTTACATTTGCCGAATACGTCCGGTATTTTGCTATATATCCTTTTGGTGCATCCATCCATCTGTTCATGAATGAGTTTCTGGATCAGAAGGATGGCGGGACTGCGATTTTAAGTCATTTTTATCTACTTACTGGGTGTGCTGGCAGTCTCTGGCTCGAAGGGTATGTTTTCCTGATCAACGCTTTTGTGGCCGTTAAATTACAGCTTCGCCATTTCACAGATCATCACCTCTTCTTCTGTTCACGGGAATATTGGTGCTCGGTGTCGGCGATGCTCTGGTGAGTGTTCACCGGATACCCATACTTTGGTGGGGCTGATATTCGTCGTCAGGCTTCTATTATTGGCAAACGTATCGGGGTCCACAGATGGTCACCCACGACTACCAAAACATTAGAAGGTAGCTTTGCTTTCACCCTTTCTGTCGTGATCAGCGCGTGGATCCTTCGACTTCTTGGCGTAACGGAGAGTTTTTCAGTAAGCTTTTGTGACTTCAATCACTAAACTCTGAACTAACTGGAACGTCCAAAGACTCTTCGCTACACAACCGTGATAGGCACGTCCTCAATCCTAGAGGCTCTGTCCGACCAAAATGATAATGTGACTCTACCGTTGTTCTCATTCAGTCTGTTGGCCTTGGTGGGTACCAGTTGATGTACAGGATGTTGTTTTGTGTATACCATGGACAGAAAGTACTTAGATATATAGGATGTAAAGATTCATATAATGTGACACCGGCTTAATGCATACAATTTCGAAACTTCTACCAGTTTGCTCCCCTTCTTGCGCCCATTGGATCTTCAGCGAACCTGAGTTGAGCTGAGTGTAGCATTGGCGCAAACCGATGATATGATCCACACGTGAGCTAATTCCAATTCATCACTCGGTCTCGAGTCATCAAATTTTCATCTACTTAAAAATTACTGTCATTCAACAAAGTTCATTTTCAACGACCACCTGAATCTTTACCTCCTACTTACCTCAAATGTGCCACCACGCCAATGGTGACTCCCAGTCCCAAGATGTCTCGCAGATGGTCGAGGTCCCCCTAACGAACGGTGCTACCAACGGAAATGTCAATGGAAAACGAGGTACTTCCCGTAACCCCCACATCACAAACCCCATCGAAAACCAACGTCGGAATCCTTACGCTCCAAGAGCCTCGGACTTTCTTTCAAACATATCTAATTTCAACATCATTGAGAGTACTCTTAGAGGTATGTGGTGCTATTATAAATTGATCGTGTTGTGCTCATTATTGAAAATTCAGAGGGAGAACAATTCGCAAATGCTTTCTTTGATACTAAGACCAAAATTGCAATTGCGAAGGCATTGGATGCTTTCGGTGTGGAATACATCGAACTAACATCACCAGCTGCTTCAGAACAATCGCGAGCAGACTGCGAGGCAATCTGCAAGCTCGGATTGAAAGCTAAAATTTTGACCCACATTCGTTGTCATATGGACGATGCTCGGATTGCCGTCGAGACTGGTATGTGGCGAGAAGTTCTTGTTACAAAAAAAATGAATTGACGCAGGATTATAGGTGTCGATGGTGTTGACGTCGTCATCGGTACATCCTCCTTCCTTCGCGAATTTTCGCACGGGAAGGACATGGCCTACATCACTAAGACTGCAATTGAAGTCATCAACTATGTGAAGAGCAAGGGAATAGAAGTTCGATTCTCTTCGGAAGACTCTTTCCGTTCGGATCTGGTCGATCTTTTATCGATCTATCAGACTGTCGACAAGATTGGCGTAAACAGAGTTGGAATTGCTGACACCGTTGGGTGTGCAAACCCAAGACAAGTTTACGACCTCGTCAGGACACTGAGAGGTGTCGTTACCTGTGACATTGAAATTCATCTGCACAATGATACCGGAATGGGTATGAGATGACTTGGAATCTCGCTGAGCTTTTTTGAACGTAATTTTCTTTAGCCATTGCAAACGCTTACACTGCTCTTGAAGCTGGAGCGACCCACATTGATACCTGTACGCGATTTTATTCTATATATCACAATTTAACTCATATTTCTCCAGCTGTTCTCGGTATTGGTGAACGCGTCGGGATCACTCCTCTGGGAGGCCTCGTTGCTTGTCTGTACGCTGCGAATCCAGAATATGTCAAGAGCAAGTATAACCTTCCCATGCTTCGTGAAATCGAAAACTTGGTCGCCGAAGCTGTCGAGGTCAACGTTCCTTTCATGAACCCAATCACGTTCGTACAACTTTCCACTGTACTCGTTGCACTTACTCATAGTATGTGATTGCAGTGGCTACTGTGCATTCACCCACAAGGCCGGTATCCACGCGAAAGCAATTCTTAACAACCCGAGCACGTACGAAATACTCAAGCCTGAAGATTTTGGTCTCACAAGATACGTCTCAATTGGGTATGATATCTCTATCTCAACATACATCCTTCAATTCTGATAGCAGAACTCTCTTCTATGTAGCCATCGTCTTACTGGATGGAATGCTGTCAAATCTCGTGTGGAGCAACTTGGACTCACACTTACTGATGATGAGGTATACCTTTCTCATTTGGATCAACTTGATTAACAATCGTCTCAAAACAATGTGTGATACAGATCAAAGATGCTACCGCCAAAATCAAGGAGCTTGCTGACGTCCGAACACAGTCGATGGATGATGTCGATTCTCTTCTCCGTGTATACCACTCTGGTATTCAGTCTGGCGAACTTGCTGTTGGTCAAAAGGAGGCTTTGGACCGTCTCCTTAGCAAGCACAGATCTCAAAGCCAGGAGTCCCAGGAACGAACTGCAACTGCTTGAATGGTTCAAAAAATATGTTGTGTGAAAAGTTTGATCTGTACCGCCGTTAAAGAGCATATGTCGCTTTTGGATGGAAGAAGGACAGCAGTTTTACCTGGACTTGTGTTGTGTATCAAAAAAAACGGCGTCTCCGACCACCACCCTGTACATGCTTTGTGCTGGTCGCGGTTAGATGCTTCGCCCCCACCATAACTGTATTATGATTATCATGTTTGGAAGTATTTTGTGTCTTATGAGAGGCCATGTCTTCAACGAAGCCACCCGCATCCCTTTTATATGTCCCCGTGCCCTTGTGAGGATGATATCGATATCATGAGAACCGGAATAATTTGAGTATCAACCGCATGTGCTCTATCATGTTCATGCAGGAGTCTTTGGCGTTGTAGTCGGTAATTTGTAACTTGTGTTTAAGTCTTTTCGCAAGTCGAGACTGGTCGAGGCTGTTCCTATTTAGACGCGCCTGTGTCTAAATCACGAGCTCTGACGTTTTGATCACTGTGACTTAGACGGCAACTGGCTGTGGAGCCTTCAAAGTTCAAGTTCGATGGGTTGACTGAGGTTATGCAATACTCTTCACACTCCTTCAACGGCACATCGTCCGGGAAAGCTGCTACACTAGCTTCCATCTCGACTTCTGATGCTCCTTTGCCGTCGTCTACGCTGCCGATGCTACCAAAACGCGCCAAAAAGTCATCGAGACCAGCGACGGCCCCTGCAAAGGAAGATGTAGCTCTTCTACCTTCTCTCCAACCATCCGGCAAAATACGGCAGCCGGATATTGTGTACGCGAATCTGCAGGCCCTTCATGAAGATGATTCATCCTCTGACCACACTAATTCACGGCCAGAGTCAGTGCCAACGACGCCTTCCGAACCAGCGAGTAGCAGTACAATGCAGACATCTAGCTCGACCATGATTATGATGCAGGAGCCGCATTCTATGCTCAAGGATAGCACCAGTCATCCAGAGAGCTCCTTGACCTCTTCACCACAATCGGTGGGTATGTTTCGAAATTACACAAATACTTACGATTGGGCCGTGTTCATCTCGGCATATGCGTCTGGTAGATGGGATCCTCACCGAACTCCGAATCCACCAGATGGGTTAGGGCACAGTATGAGTCCGATGCGTAAGCTAGGAAGCGGTCGTAAGCCGGAGGATGACGAGAACGATGAAGTTGAACAAAATCGTACGCCCACTGCGAACACGCCATCCGTAACGTCCTCGGGAAATGTCTCTCCAGTATCGAACAGGCTACGCGAACGGAACGATTTATCAGTGCACGCTCATCATCAAACCAATTCAGATCTGGTCCCCCAATTACATCGTTCCCCGAGTTCCTTCCCTTCTCCCTCCGGTGCATCGAGAGCGTCTCATCTGGTATCTATACCTCTAGGCTCAAGTCGCAGTGCCGATTCGCCCGCCGAGAATTCTCAATATCCACCGCAGAAAGCTAAAGCGGGGCTTTTCCTTAACCTCCCAAATCTTCTATCCATGAGCTCAAGCTCTGGCACATCGCCTGGTCTTGAACCATCTCCCGCTTCACCTTCGCCTCTAAATGTGGCTTTGCAAAGCAATGCGTTACATTCCAATATGCACCATTCACCATTAGATGATTCTTCACCACTGAGTAAGCAAACTAAGTAAGTCTATTCTTCTCTAACAGGGCTTGCGCTAACTCCGAGCTCTAGAACAATTCCTCAGCCGCTTCAGTCGACATCAGGACCACCTTCATGTGCGGGGAGTGTTCAATTGTCCACCACGCCGACGAAATCTTCTTCCTCTCGTGCTCCGACGATATCTGGGTATCCTTTGATTGTTCCTGCGTCAGCAACTGCTGCACATTTTAGCTCTTCCCAACTTCATTCCAACTCTTCACATCTGCACACATCTTCTTCTCGCACGCATATTTTTCCTAATGCTCCTACTCTCAATGCTGCTACTCTGCGTCTCGCCGGTACATATGTAAACATTTCACCGTTGGCATTGCCAAGCCCGGAGCATGAACTCACGGACCCGATGAGGGCGGCAGGAGCGCCGGGAAGGAATATTTTGGTCACAGTACCGGGTACAGTGCCCGAGGACACCGATTCAGCACTTGCGTCCAGTGAGGACGGGAGTCCCTCTGATCGTGTGCTAGTCGATAACGACCCTGTCGACGCAAGTAGCTCGGGTAAAGAACTATTCAGAACACACTCACGAAACTCGAGCACGGATGTGAAGAAGTTCGCAGATGGTGGTGATGGCAGGGAAGGTGGAAGATGGTTGGATAATTCAGAATCTACAGGTAGTCTGGTAATTACCCCCGGCGGCACTACCAGGCGTATAAGAATATCGCAGGAGCAGAAAAAATTTTGGAAGGGGACACGAGACGTGGACCGGCCATTAGGAACCTACGGCCAATTTTCTGCAAGTGATTCCCATTCAATTGGCTCTCCCCTTGCGAAAGGCAAGGGGAAAACGGTCAAAATTCATTCTCCGGGGCTCAATAATGGCGATGACGATTACTTCACGCGTGGGAGGGAGTTCTCTGCGGCTTCGTCGTCACAAGATGGTGGTCAACGTACTCCCAAAATCAATGTCGGTATTGCCGATCTCGAGGTCGTTCATTTGTCAAGCCGATCTCCAAGTGCTGAACTGGATTCGGTAGACGATGATTTGGATAAACTTCATCCACTCACAATTTTCGATCATCGGGAACTGACCACTTCTCCACCATTAAACTTGTCGTCAAACTTTGGGCAATCTGACGACTCCAATGCTATACCGACATATATCTCGAAGCCGTCACTCTCTGCGTACTCATTTCCATATCTACATGATCGCGCGCAAATGGTTCCTCATCCAAGTGGTACAATGTCCGTTCCTGTACCAGCTATAACAAATGGTACTTCTCATACCGATGCTATCACAGCAATCTCAAATCCTACCGATTCCGATTCTTCCATCGATGGACAACTGGTGCGCAGGATGACCCTCGTGCGGCAAAGCAGTGCGCCTCTACCTGTGGGCAGTGGTAGCAATTCGTTGCTCAAGGGAAGTATGGCTGTCGGGATGCCCATACCACCACGAATTCTGTCATCATTAAACGAAGCAGAGAAGAGCGAACTGGTACCGGTAACTGAGGATAGTTTCTCTTCTCCGGAGGCAAGCGAGTCGAATAATAATCATAGGTACTCCGCCGCTCCTTCGGAAAAGCCGAAGATTAGTAATATCGCAGTAGGCCACGGAGTATTGTCCAGTAATGCTTCTATAGAGGCGATGGGTGCGCTTATAAATGTAGGACAGAGTCCTTCGATGCGGGCTGTTAAGGAAGAGCAAATGTTCCGAGAGCTTGGGTATCTTGTGGCGCCGAATCCTCTGGATGAGCTAGAAAGACGAAGAGCGTTGTACAAGTCAGTCTTGCTGTTTGTGTTGCATCCATTTATACATTAACTTTACATCAGGTTCAACATCTGGAACACAGGATCTGATTTGAACTTCGATCGTATTGCCCATTTAGCCAAGCTAGTCTTCAACACGAAGGGCGTTTTCATCAGTCTTTTGGATGGGAACGAGCAGTGGTTCAAATCAGAATGTATGTGCATGTATTCATGGCATTGAGAATACATGTTCTTCTTCCCTGGCTAGCAGCTTACTGACTGCTATGTTTGTAACGTCCTTTCCTTTGTCACATGGTTTATATTCATCTTGCACAGGGGGTCTCAAGATGAACTCTTACAGCCGAGTACAATCCTTCTGTGCGCATGCTATCCTGCAACGGTAAAACATACAAAAATCTGCTTATTATCGTTTGACTCATGTGGCGTATCTAGTAACGATGAACCGATGGTTATATTAGACACCTTGCAGGATTGGCGTTTTGCTAATAATGTATGACGATCTTGTTCTCCACATTGAAACGTTAGATCTGATGAACTAATTAGCCCAATGTCTTGAACGCCCCGTGTATACGGTTTTATGCCGGGGCTCCTCTTCGAACCCAAGATGGTCATAACGTTGGGAGGTAAATTCGCTCGTTCATTTGAGTCAGGTCAAAATTTTTGAACAATGCACAAAGTCTTGCAGTTATTGACGACGCTCCCCGAGAAGAATTCACACCCAGGCATCGGCATACTCTCAAGGAGTTTGCAGCAATTGCCATGAGAGAAATGGAGTTATGGAGAGACAAGGTCGGGTAGCTGCTGCTCTTCCTGATTGTTGCTGATACCTTCCTAATCGTAGATACAACTGCGTATCCGTGACCGTATTCAGAACTCGGTCAGCTTTCGTCTTTATATACACCTACCAAACTAACCCTATAATCAGATGGAGCAATTTAGCCGTGAATGCCTGGAAATCGACATGGAACAGCAGGACCCACAAAGCCCCCAGGGTTCTCCAGCAAGTGCCTATGAAGAGCAATCTTCTAACCCTAGCCTATCGATGTCCGGGTCTTCAATGGAAAGGGTGTACGATCGAGCTGCAAAGCTTGTTCAGCGCACTCTGGACGTTGAAGGCGTTATTGTCATGGATGTGTCGCACTGTGAGGTTCTCGAGAATATGTCCGGAGAAAGTACGGTTAATGTGGTCATGCATCATGGTGATCCCGACGTGACGGAGACCACGACGAAGAGTCTGACTGCAGACGAATACGCGAAGCTAAATGTTTTCTTCGCAAAGAATCCCGATGGTAAAATTAGTGAGGGTATTGTTCCTCAGAGTTTTCGGCTGTTCTTGCCGACTACAAGGATCCAGTACGCGCTTAGTGAGTACTGCGTTCGTTCTATTGCGTCTTCGTCAAACTGGATTTTCACAGCCGTTCCAATCTATAACATTGACAAGAGGCCGTTTGCCTTGCTCTGTGCATACAATGCTTCAGAACATACTAAGAGATTCGTAAGCTTTCGCAATTAATACATACTTCTTCATGTATTCAACATCCCTTTCCAGTTGGAAGGCCACGAGTTATCGTATCTTCGAGCCATCGGTGAGCATCATACCAAAACCAGTTCCGTAATCTATTTGATGAACTTAAATGAAGGCGTAATCATTCTATCCGCGGTACTTAAACGGAGGATGCTGCTTGCTGACAAAGCTAAAAGCTTATTTATATCGAAGTACGCTCAATGAACCATTGAAGTTTCAATTTTTTTTAATTTCTTGTCTACTTTTGCAGTATTTCTCATGAACTTCGTACGCCGTTGCATGGGGTGAGATCGGAAGTTTCCGCGATCATTGTACACGAGCCTCACGACAAGTTCTGTCCAGATTCTCGCGGCTGCGGAACTTCTTGGCGAGCTAGATCTGAATCACACTCAACTTTCATTTTTGCAGACAGTGCAAGCCTGTGGGACGTCCTTGGTCGAAACTGTCAATCACGTTCTCGACTTCACCAAGCTGAGCGGCAACTCAAAAGCTGGCGGTGTAGAAAATGTAATAATCCCAACCAAGTAAATAGTCCATAATTCTTCTCAGAGTTCTTCACATAACACTATGTCCCACAGAGTCGATCTGATGCAATTAGTCGAAGACGCTGTCGACGGATGTTGGATCGGACATTGCGCCCGTACAGCCATAATGGAAGATACTGGGACTGGAATTGGCAGTGTGTACTCCCCGCCAAAAGAAGATGAAGGCCAGACGAGAAAACATGTTGAGGCAGTCATAGATATTGGGCCACGCTTAGAGGTATGTGTGTTTCTCCGTAAGTGATGTCCGGTCTCGCTTCATCAGGTTCAACGTCCAGGGCTGGGTACTTAAGTGCGAGAAAGGTGGTATAAGAAGAGTCTTGATGAATATTTTCGGCAACAGCTTGAAGTTCACGTCAAATGGCTTTGTACATGTCATCCTTCGTGAATTGCCACCAGCAGAAGATGATCCTCCCAACAAGATCAAGGTAGAGCTAGCTGTACACGATACGGGAAAGGTCAATGTCATTAATTTCCGCTGTTGAGTATTCTAACTGACTCCTTTCGCAGGGTATCAGTCAAAATTTCTTGAAGGTTAGTACTTTACTCTAACAAATGCATCATACTCAGCGTGGATCGTAGAACCAACTTTTCCATCCCTTTTCGCAAGAGAACCCGCTTCAAACTGGAACTGGTTTGGGCCTTGCCATTGTCAACAGCATTGTCACTTCAGACAGTGTCGGTGGCAAGGTCGATGTTTGGAGCGAAGAAAATGTTGGAACAGAGATCAAAATTACGTTCCCGGTCGAGGTTGTTGAAGCCGATGAGGTAGTGGAAATGGGTCATTTGAGACTAGATGATGTCAATCCCTCGCCGACTGTGTCGCTCGTTGGTTTCGAAGATCCTCATAAAGGGATACGACTTATGCGTTCCGTTCTCAAGACATACATCACGAAGTGGTGGGGATTAGAGATTCTAGAGAACCATGATGGTGAACTTGGAAACATCGTCATCCTCAATGAAGACGTCAGTGTGGTGGTGAAGGCGACGCAAAGACACGATACTAGTCGTCCTTTCGTTGTCCTTTCAGCCTTAAGAGGCAACCCAACTATGATGTCGGCTGCCAGTGACCATGAGCTCATTGGTGGTTTCTGTCGTATCATTTATAAACCTGGGGGACCGTCTCGAATACGATCTGTGCTTCGACTCTGCCTACATGCTATGAAGATCGGGTCGAAAAGCTCACATCCTTCCTTATTTGAAGAGCGCCAAGTCAGCAATCAATCTTTCGTACATAACGGTGCTTTATCCGCTGCCAACACCATTGTACCGAGACGTTATTCCGAAGACTCGCACCTTCTCACCCCCCGACCATCTATGAGTCCTCGAAGCACTACGGCGCATCCTAATGGATCTTCTTCGTGGAAAATGCCCACATCTACCGTAGTAGAGGAAAAAACTGATTTGTCGGATCCCGACACTAACGAACCAACCATTACGTTGGATTCAGGTGGGACTCTGTTGAAGTCGTCGATCAGGTCTATCGACACCCAGCTTCAAAAAATTAGAGTGTTATTAATCGAAGACAACAGTGTTTTACGAGGACTACTGTGCGTTTGAACGAGCCCACTATCGTTATTGAAGAATTGACCATTCGTGTATGTGTAGCGTTAAATGGTTATCCAAAAAGGGGTTCTATTATCGGGATGCCGTAGATGGACGAGACGGCGTAAACGCATATGAAAAGGATGGACCATTCGAGTACGTCGCAAAAACATTTTGTGACAAAAGCTCTAACTTCCACCCCAAGTGTCGTGCTTTTGGATCTTTCGATGCCGGTGTTGGATGGTATTGGTGCCACAGCCGAAATACGCAGGATAGAGAGCGGCTTCACGGCAGAATTCTCACATCGACGCAGCCGAATACTTGCGTTGACTGGCATGTCATCTCTGGAAGACAAGCGAAGGGCTTTCGATGCAGGAGTCGACGGCTAGTATGTTGCTCCTCCACCTACATCGGTTCTTGAGTGTTGACTTATTTTTCCCGCTTTTTATTAGTTTAGTGAAACCGGTACTATTCAGCACATTAAACGAAGTTTTTTCCAAGTTAGGGATATCATGATCTCAGCCTATTCCTATTCCTCTTTTTCGCGTTTAACAATTTATCTACGGGTTGGACGCAACCTAGGTAATAAACGCACGCACGATTTTGTAGCATCACTTTGCATTCGCACAATATCTATATTATCAAACCCCACACACTGTATGTTGTCGTAATCCTCACTTTTTTGTTCTTGCCAACATTATATATTTACCATGCAGCATATCGCATATTCTAATCTTGTACTTCTGTCTCTCTAGATGTCTCTTGCTCTCGCTCAGTTGCAAATTTTCCTTGTACTCACTACTATTCTCGTCATTCACCTCTATATATCAACTTCATTATTGTGTCCTCCCAGTCGAGAGTAGGGGAGCGCCTCCTTACATCAATAGCATAAATAAGTCGATACCGATATCTGGATCATGACATTTCGCCAAAAGTCCCTTAGGTGCCAGCTGCATGGCATTTTTCCTTTCAGGGTTCCCACGTAAAACTGTAAATGGATTTTGTACCCGGTGAAGCGCTGCCTCACAACCTCTCACAACTATTGAATTCGGACTGCGCAAAAACATGAAGCTTGGAGTATGTAGGTAAGTAAGTAGGGCAACAGGACAAAAGCGTACAAATGAGAACTCGGTATTCTTTGGTTGGATCTGAGTCTGATCTGAGCGTAAATAGCTGTCGCAGCGCAAGCGAGCCTATCGGCAAAACATGTACGGTGCGGCCGGCGCATGCCAGTGCCGGCGATCAAATTTCGGCTTCTTACCAGCGCTATTGGGCACTGGTAAAGCCCCTCCACTCCATAGTTTTCGATGATCTGTGATCAGGAAGAGCTCAAGAATCACTATTATCTGTGTAAACCTACACTTATTTTCTATTGATCAGCATTCGACACAGATGCTTGCTTGAGAGCCCCGCTCGAATGTAGGGTACGGTGAATAATACAAAATATATTCACATATGTTAATTAACCTTGTTATTAACATGTTATTAACATTACGAGGCTGAATATATGAAGACTCGTCCTTATGTACGTCGTTCAATTTCGCAATTTAAGCGCCGTACTTCCTTTTTAGACCACCTTTTTTGCCTATATATGGTATGGAGTCACAGAGTCTTGAAACAATTCATTCGGCTGTGACTGCCATGTGATCTGTTTCATTTGTGATTATTGTCACTGCTTGCTGCGTTTTTTGTTTTGTTGGGAGTGGTGTACTCCATCGTTGTCATGCCCTGGCTACAACCAGACCAGTCCCAGTAACCACCACACGTTACCATACGTCCTACCCACCTCCTGTATGCCCTCCGCACCTCCCCAAGTACCACCAGACACCTCCCCAAGTATTTCTGACGCCACTACCCAAACGTCCTTCACCCCGACACGCGTACGAAAGCCCTCTAGCCGATAACCCCTTTAAGTATTAATCTCGATTACCTCCCTCCCTCCAATTAGCTACCTCATGCCTCCAGATGTTCTCTTGTTCACTTCCCGTACCTATTTAAGTAACGCCGCAATGTCCCGAAGCCCCAGCTTGGTATATTTTGAACACACACCCTTTTGCATAGGTCCAGTCCCTGTCCCTTTGTACCTGCTAACCATACGGATTTCTCTTTACTCTCTGTTTCTCTACTTCTGTTTCTCTCTACCTCTGTCTATTGTCTCTCTGATCATCTATACGATCGAATATACGCTTTCACTTCAAGTCTAAGCCTTCCGAGTGAGTCCCCGAGCTCCCTCGAACATTACTAAAGCTCCCCAACGCCTACCCGCCTTGGTGAGCTACCCTTCCCCAAACTTCCCAGAGCTCCCTAGCTACTTCGTAAGCTTCGGGACCTCGATCTAGGTAACGTCGAAGCTACCCCTCACGTCGGACTACGTATTGCTTCTCCGTTACCACCTCCCACACTCGAGGACGTCCATCCTCAAGCTCAGCCCCCAGGGACCTACCCTTCCTGACATATCCCTTCTCGGGAGCTTACACTCTCGAGACCCAGTTGCATATACGACCTACTCGATCCTATATTGACGTTCTAGCGAGTACAACTCCTACTATGCAATACTGTACGGTCCCGCACTCTTCCTTAACCTCCCTACGCCTTAGGGACCTCCCTGGACCTCCTAGGGACCCCCTCAAGGGTCATCATCTCGTCGTTCCAGACACTACTAGGTCATTCTCGTCCTCGGTCGCGGTTCTCGTAGCTCCCTTCGAGCTCCAGCCTGCTCCTAGCACGCTACAACATAAAACTTCATATACCAAACCTACCCTAAGACCCATTTTAACCCAGGTCTTACATTATACCAAGCTCTCCCGTCACCGAACGGACTCGTCGCGACGAAATGTCGGCGACGTCAACGGAACGACCTTCTAGTTCCAAGACCGAATCAAAGAAACAAAAGAGCGCCTTATCTCGTGGAAACACGACACAAGCTCAAAAATCGAACCAGGCTGCTAGCTCCACTGTCATCACGGTGGCAGCTGGTCAACGCCTGATGTCCATCCCAGAACAGTCGTTCGGGGATGAAACCGCCAGCAACATCCGGACCCCAGAGAGACGTCAACCGGAGGTTCAGGGGCCCCCTCCAGTGGAACCTGGGATGGGACCACCACAACGGAGGTTTACCTCCATGGGTTACGCCCAACCTGCCAGTAGTCCCATGGGAGGTTTCGCATACTCCCCTACCTGGGGAACGAGAGGACCTCCCCCTGGACCGATACCGCAGCTAGACATGGAGTCAGCTTCGAACGCGGGTGGAAGAGTCAGCGGTCAAGTAGCCGCTATCGAAAGGATACACGGGGGGAGTACTGACCCTCTCACAGTAAGACAACAGGAGAAACTTCCAGAGAGGAGGGTATCCCCTGCCGTATCCGAACAATCTCGGACGTCATCCCGGAGGTTACCAACACCTCCAGTACAGTCCCTTAACCTTCCTCCCCCGAGACGAGGAAGTTCACTCTCCAGTCTCCTGAAGAGCCCAGCTATGAATACGCCCAACTGGGAGCGTACACACGCAATACACCATAGCAGGACCAACTTCCCAGTACAACCCTTGTCCGAAATGACATTGCGTCTGGAAGACGTCATTCGAATTCAGGAGTGTATCCCGGAGGATGTAGCTATGGTCCTAAGGGAGGTATTGGAGTCAATGGGGATCGAAATATTGGGAGACGGTCTCGAATTCTCAGACCTACGAGTACAGTTCCTAACAGTGGGAACTCAACTGGAGATAGACCTCCCAGAGAAGGCCCAGCAGTGGCTGATGACCCCCGCGAACCGATCAGATTTTCTCTGGCTGTACAACGTCCTGTTGGACCCAGAGAGGATGTTGGAACTGTTAGAGGCAGAGGCACGTTACGGGCGATCGTTCCGAAACTCGAGGGGAATACTTCCCCTCCTCCCTCATACCCATGGAAGGGAGAAGGAATTCTGTGGCGAAGCAGGGCTACGTATATTGTACCGAGCCTCTAACTACAGATCAGGAGCCGTATGGTTTGAACCTCCCCCTTCGAGGGTTAACATACCGAACTACCAGGCGATCCAAATACTTCGGAACGCAAACCTAGCGGAAGCAGCAGCTAAAATCGATGAGGAAAGTAACGAGGATGCTAACGCAATCGCTGCAAAAAATCGTAGACGCAGGAGGTACACCACGGCTCACCTCCTGGCCCCAGTGGAGTCAATGCCTGATCAGGATAGTCCCGTCCGGGTCCGTAACGGGCAGACGGTATACACGTACACGCCCATGAGGCATATGCACCAGCTTCTGGTCAGGAGTGAGGAGTCCGCAGCGATGTTGTGTTCGCAGGAGACCCGACACCGGACGCTACTAGCGGAATCAGACACTCTGATGCTGTCGGAGGAACTTTCTGGATCGAATCTAGAAAGAGCTTTGGAATTCCGTCGTAGACTGGTCGCGGATAATCGGGGAACCTCGTATATGGTTCAATGCGAACTCGAAAGCGTAGGGGAGTTCCCTCCGGAGCAATTTGACCAGAAAGGGCAGCTCCATGGATCTGATGGTCGTTTCCTGGCACAGAAACATTCATCGCCCAGGAATATCGAGGTTCCTGAACTCCTTAACCCCGGTAACATGGCCACGAGGAGCCCCCAGTTACGCTCTGGGACCTCCCCCACTGTACATGCCTTGGCTCAAAATTCGACTCCTCCCCCCAGAGTTAACCTGCAAACGAAACCTTTAACCCCAGTCTCGACGCAGCGATACCAGTTTGGTGAGGTGAGGATGGATGGCGCACAACATTCATCCCGGATCTCCGGACAAGATCTGACAGCTCGGTTGGCTCCCAACCCTGTACACGTTCCTCCAAGACTGAGCAATCCATCAGTCATTCCGTATCAAGGGTCGGTATCGATGCAATCTCAGGCAGTGGGAACGGAAAGTCAAAGGGGTCCGAACCAACGAAAAACGTTGGCAGTTCATGAAGAGGCGGTACCCCCGCAGGGAACTCCTTTTGGAACTCCCTTTGTAACGGGAGCTCAGATGAACCGACCTGGCATGGCTTTCGAGTCGGCACGTTCTCAGGAATCGGTAGCAATGATCCAACAACAGGCTCGGGTCATTGAGACGCTCCAGGACAACTCCGTGAGGTAAAGAAAGGATTCACAGCGGGGGAAGTACCGACTGGAGGACCCCTTTCCAAAACAGGAAACACGGCAGGATTATCCGGGCGAGCACCTAGGGTAATGAGAGAATATACGAGGGGGGGTCCTTCTCCTGTAGTTCCCCAGCCAAGGAGCTGGCAAGCTACGGAACCAATATCCTTTAACCAAAACACTCCTACAGGAGCTAAGGATGGAAACCCCCAGGTAGAACAAGCAGGACAGATCCCGGATACTCCGAGTGTGGACCGACGACGTATTCACGAGTGGGGAGCCCGAGTGCAAAGAGCTGAACTAGGGGAGTATGGGAGACCAGAAGGAGGAGCGTACACGTTGGAAAACGAGGGAGGAGGCAAAGGCGGTTTTAACCTCCCTCCTAGAGTACCTCCCCCACATTTTTCTAGTCAATCGAGAGATCGAGAACGGCCTCTGAGTCGAGGGGGACAGGGTCAAAGAGAACAGGGAGGAAGGAGCGGGGGAGGGGCACCACCTCCGCCTCCTCCTCCTCCACCACCTTCCGGGGGACCGGGTGATA